GGGGGTTTTTTTTTTTTTTTTTTTTTTTTTTTTTTTTTTTCTTTGGGATAGCAATAGCCTGCCAATGCCAGTTCTGTTCTGCCCCCATGCGTGTCTGATAGTGACGTAGGCCAAAATGTCACATTCGCTACCCTTACTGATGGGTGTCCCTAATCTAATGGAGGCTGTGATCGCCAAAGGTATTTGCGAATAGTTCTACGGCGGCTTTGACATAGACCAAGCTTCACGGAAACACTCAAGTATTGTTGCCAGGTCAGGTAAATGCAAGTGTGACAATTTGTTTGAGCAAATTCGGGTGATGGTTACGCGGTCTGGTGAGGTTGGCACCAAGGGTCCAGCCGAGATCAAGGCTGCCCCCACATGAGATGTGTGTTCCGATGCCCGGACCGGATTCAATGAAAGAGCCATGTAGCTATATTGTATGGATCCCGCAGACGATGCTGAATACGGAAGACGATGAAAATGACACAATGAGGGACCAAACGCTTTAGATACGGACTTGTTTCGAGGCATCACGTCCAGCGACCGAAAGTGACTCAAGCACTTCAGTAGTTGACATTATATGCCGGCTGTCAAAGGCGGCCAGTCGGCCAGTCGGCCAGGGCTAGTTCGGATGACTTGATTCAGCGCGCAGGTCATCAATGCGTCTGATACGGCTTGCGTGACAGTGGTTACCGTTCTGTTGTAGGAGGCCACGGAGGGTTGGTAAAAGGTACGTGAGGCTGGTGCCAGTGAGGTAGTCTCCCTAGAGCCCCGATCCCGAATTCAAAGTGGCTGATGCAACGAAAAGGACGGGGCGTCGGACGAGCCGGGCTTCACGGGCAGTTCCCAGGAAAAAATTGACTGGCAGGGCAAGGTGCTCCATGGTAGGATCAGCGACGTCACGTCGAGGGTTCTGGCAGGCCAACGACCAACCGACCCGAGCTTCAGCATTCCTTGGGCGCGCGGTGCTCGACCGATACCGACGCTGCCATGGCACAACAATGACAATGCCGACACGAGCAACGCAGCGCAACAGACCGTCGGCACGACTATTGAGCACGTGGAGACGCTCGCCAGGCGCCCAGCAGCGGGGAGGGCATATCGACGCATCGAGACTGGGCTGCGGCAGGCTCAGCTGCTTTGCGTGGTGCAGTGCCTCATTGACTGGCACGCGTGTGTCTCAGGACGTTGGATCGCGACCAAGCTTAGCGAGAGCGATGCAGAGACCTTGACCCCTCTCCATCGGCTGTCGGCCGTCGAGTGCCGGCCGTCGCGGGCTGCTTGGGAGGCGCCTGGGTGCAAGTGCCGTTGCCATCGGAGGGCGGGTCATCATCATCATCATCACGCGTTGGACTGAGGCGCATCACAACAGCTGATTACCTACTGAGGCGGGTATGTGTGTGGGTGGACCCTGGGATTAGGGGTGGTTGCACTCAAACCGTCGGTCTGTCGGGACATGGCAAGAGACACGATTGCGCGGAGATGGGACGGGACATGTGATTCAAGGAGAGTTTTTCGGACAGAGAAGGTCGGATCCCCGGCAGGCCCCCGCCAATGTCGTCGTCCTCGGCCGTCGTGCTGTAGAGGTGCATCGAGAGAAAAGAGACCAATGGTGGACGAGTCTTCGACGAATCGCCCGTCATTGGGTGTGTCGGCATGATGCGATGACACCCGGCAGACGCGCCGGGGCTCTGTCGGCTTCACAAAGCGGCTCGAGTCCAGAGCATAGTCGCCTGGCAACCAGAATTTGAGATTGGCGGACGAGGGAGAAGGGGAGGACAAATGACGAAGAGGCGGCCTTGCTGTGCCGTCGTGGCCCTGCGCTGTTTTGCATCTGGGCCGGCGACCTGGAAATCAGCAAACCCACGCGTTTCCCGTTCATCTTCTTTGGTCGGCAAGGGCGACTGCACATCAGAGACAGGCCAGGCAGAATCAGAGGCGAGGGAGAGGCCGAGGGAGACAAGCGTTGAAGAAAGCCATAGCCGCCGAGGCAGGTGTCAGCTCGGTCGGTGTCAGGGTTTGACTGCTGGGCCGTCATGGACCGTCATGGGCCGTGCCAGGCGGGGGGGGCTCAAGGGCGAGATGTGGAAACGATATGTTGGGTGCTTGTGGATGTTGTCGAGTGTGATGCATCTGGGATGGGAGATGCATCTTGGATGGTAGACGCATCTTGGATGGTCCCTGGTGCGTTGAGTTGGGAGCAATGGGTGCGGGCAACAGTGGCTTCCACAGAGGCTTCAGTGGCTTCAAGCTCCCAACGCGGCTAAAGTTAAGGCCGTCCCACGCGATGCAAACGCAAACCGAGGCGGCTGCGAGATCCAGCCATGGCCTCCGCCAAGGCCTCAGCCAACCTGGCAGGCAGGACCGAACCAAGGGACAGGCCAAGGCGGTGCTAAAAGAGAGCCATGTCTCAAGGTGACGCAGGATGGAGCAGGATGGAGCAGGAGGGCGGATCATGGCCCGGCGCTGGGTCGTGCCCGCCCCGTCGCCATCGCCATCGGTTGCCGTGGTGACGCGCCTCGACCCAGTCAACAATCATGACTTCCCCCAAAGACCCTCGATGCTACCTGCCTTCAACGCCTCGTCTCCGTCTCCTCTTTCCTGCCTTAGATACCCGCCCAGACTATTTGCAGAAAGTGGAATCCTCCTCCTCCATCTTGCACCTCCTCTTCCTCACCACCACCACTCTTGCATCACCACATCTGCCAAACCCAAGCCTGACGCCAGCGTCACCTGCTCCATCCAAAACCGCATCACAACACTGCCAGTCTCGAGAGGCCCTTCTACCTAGGAAGAGCTCGTCCGTCTCCCGTCTCCCCAGGCCTGAGGAGGCCTCTCTCCCGTCCACCCCGTTGAGCTGCAAAGCCCGACCTCTGCTGAGCACGACCTAAGCTCTCCCCCTTTGCCCGGCAGCCACTGCTAGCGCTGCGTGAGGTTGGTGCTTCTTCTTCTCCTTCTTCTTCTGCTGCTGCCGCCGCCGCTTCTGCTGCTGCTGCTGCTGCTGCTGCTGCTGCTGCGGCTGCGGCTGCTGCCATGATGGAAATGACACTGACGAGACGGCCCCCAGTTTCGGACCCAAAGGTTCCCTTCGACAACCTCAACCGACGACAATCCCCTCCGGACTCGACCTTGCGACACAATGCTGTCCTCTCCATCCCGCAATCTTCAGGCCCGCCAACGCGCGACCCACCGACGGCAAAACTCGACGCCGTCCGCCTTTGAGCCGGCCAAGATCCCAGCCCTGCCCACTGTCCAGAACCGACAGCGAGCCCTCGGCCACCGCCGGGGCCTCAGCTTGGACACACGACGCCAACACCTGTCGCCCGCTTCCGCCGCGGCCGCGACCACCACGACACCAACAAGGCAGGACTTTGCAATGGTAAGCAACACTAACAACACAGCATCACCGCAGCATGTGCTGCGAGAAGCGCAGCAGCAACGCATTCTAGCACGCCCGGGCCCCCACCAGCAGAACCTCTCCAGGTCTCACACGAGACATCTCAGCCACCACCAACAACAACAACCTCACCCGCTGCGACGCCAGCAACACCAGCAGCAAAACTTCATGGCCGCCGTCAATGACCACGACAACAGCTACGTCATGTCGCCTCACGGCACCCCCCAGCACCAGCGCTTCGGTGCCGCCTGCTTCGACGGCAGCTCCTCCCCTGTCCCCTTCAACCCCTACCAGGGAGGAGGCATCAACGTCATGATCCCTATGAAGGACGATCCCGCCTTTGTCGGCGCCATGATGAGCGACAAGGACTTTGACCTCTTTGGCGCCGACACCGATCTCTCGTCGCCCGCCTTCATGGACTTCAACGAGAGCCCAACCTCCGCTCAGCCCATCTGGGCCTCCGAGGGCGACGCCGCCGCCGCCGCCACTCTCAGGCGCACGACCCGCAGGATCAGCAACGGCATCCTCGACCGTGTGGCCAAGTTTGAGACCATGGGTGGCGAGCCCTCGAGGCCGACAACACCCCCTCATCAAAACGGAAACGGTCAGTTCCTCCCCAGGCGCCTTGGCTCCGATGAACCTGCTTCGCTCACACACGTTCCAGGCTACTTCCCTCCTACGCCCATGGAGACCCCCCATGACCGTATCGTCAAGCAGCAGCCTGAGCAGGCCTCAAGGCCCAGCAGGTTCTCTGACGATTACGACGAGTCCATGGAGGAGACGCTCAAGCCCGTCCGTGCCAAGCCAGCATCGAGGGCTCAGAATGTCTTTGAGGAGATGAGGAGACGCGCTGAGGAGTCGTCCGCCAACCCCACGCCTCCTCAGACCACGACCATGCCCGAGGCCCAGACGTTTGAGCCCCAGGTGTCTGCTGCCGACTTCATCAGCATGAACAGCTTCGACACCGACTACCTCAAGACCCAGTCCTTTGACGGATTGACCGATGACCTCGGCGTCTCGCCCGGCATGTCCCAGAACTCCACGCCCCACACTCCTCACAGCGCCGTCATGAACAACGGCTACCACCCCGGCCCCTTTGACAACCCAGACCTCCGTCTGCCTCACCATGACAGCCCTGCGACGCCCTCTCTCTCGCGCACGCAGTCGCTCCGTGGAACCCCCCACCGCCGCACCGACTCCCTCGCCAGCATCGTCAGTGCTGCCAGCATCTCCGGCATCAACATTGAGGAGACCAAGACCGAGACTGGCGTCACGACGGATGACATTGCCATCTACATCCAGGGCCCTGATCCCGCCGACAACAAGTGGATGTGTCTGTTTGAGGACTGCGGCAAAAAGTTCGGCCGCAAGGAGAACATCAAGTCGCACGTCCAGACCCACCTCAACGACCGCCAGTACCAGTGCCCCTCGTGCCACAAGTGCTTCGTCCGCCAGCACGACCTCAAGAGGCACGCCAAGATCCACACCGGCATCAAGCCCTACCCTTGCGAGTGCGGCAACAGCTTTGCTCGCCACGACGCCCTCACGCGCCACCGCCAGCGCGGCATGTGCATCGGCGCCTTTGACGGCATCGTCAAGAAGGTCGTCAAGCGCGGTCGCCCCCGCAAGCACCGCCCCGAAATGGACGAGCGTGTCAACAAGTCCGCTCGCACCCGCTCCAAGAACCAGTCCATCAGCTCCATCTCTTCGCAATCTGGCTACTCTGACACGTCCGGTGCCAACTCGCCCGAGAACTACAACGCCATCTCCGACAATGACTTCGCCGCCATGACCATGGACATCAAGCAGGAACAGCAACACGCCCGACACGCCCGGCCCATGCCTTTCGAGACCGTCTCCATGTCGTCGGCCCCCATGTCCTCCGCCCCGATGCCCTCGCTCCCCCCCGCCCGCGCCTCTCCCCTGCACCACCACGAGAACGACCTGGACATGGCACCCTCGCCTTCCGTCGCGAGCCACGTCTCCTCCTTCGTCTCACCCGAGGAGATTATGGACCATCCCTCTGTGCGCTCGCATCATGACGCGTCTCCGACCAAGAGCACCCCCAGCCAGTACAACACGCCCCCCGAGCTCTCTCAATCCTCCTCGCCCCCGCCCCACCACTTCTTCGACGCCGAGCCCGGCAGCGTCAGCTTTGCTGACGACTCGCTCCTTGCCGGTATGCGCACCAGCTCGGCTGCCGGCCTCGGCAGCGCCGGCAATTTCTCAGGTCTCGGGCTCGGCGACCACGATGAGGAGCTTCTCATGAAGGCCTTTGACGACAATCTGGGCGCTTTTGACCGCGACCCCAACGTGCTCATGATGAGCGACTTTGACGATGCCGTCGACATGTTCACGAACGGCGACGACGTCTTCTTCGGCACGTCATGATTCCCGTCCTTCATCATGCTTTCCGCTCGGCTCGGGGGTCTGCTTTCGGCGCTGGTTCTTTTCACAATTTGTCTAAATATTTGCTCTACCAATATGGGATGGTGCCCCTGGTTATACGGCACGGGCATCTTCCTGGGACAAACTCGGACGTGTGTACTAATATTCGGGAACGGCGGTTCGGTACTTGGGAATTGGGTCATGGTCACAACAAATTGGCGAAGCGGGACATCTTTCGGATTTGTGTTTATGGAGATTTTTCTTCGGTGTGTACCTATGTAGGGGCCAGAGATCTGATGTGGCGAGCCATGTGCGTCTCGGACCAGATCTTGGTGTTTTTATGGGATAGATGGTTCAATTGACACGTTCACGGGCTTCGATCCGGTCTGCCATGCACGTGATATGGTGTTTTATCAGGGGGCTGTGATCATGGACGCGCGTCGTGGCACAGCTGTCGTATCTGTTGGCTTCAGCAACGCTTGCCTCCGATGCTTTCCATGCCAAAGGCTGTGATGAACACAAAAGTACGATCACGATTCACCAGCATGCCGTGGGTAGATAAATGCCCAACCTTTATTAAGTCTAAAAAAGACCAAGGAAATATAAAACAATCTATGCGAGCGGTCTAGTCTACGCTCGCAAGTCCCGCCATCTTACACAAGTTCCGATTCAAACTTCATAAATCCAAGCAAAAACTCCGAACATTGAGCATCCTCGGGAGAAAAGCCCAAGCATGCATAATGCAATTATACCCGATGGCAAACATCGAGAGCCCACGGACATGCGTAGCCACACACGAAATGAGCAACAGTATCCCTGAAGCGGAGATCCTGTTGGGAGGAGATGATCTCTCCGGACGGACGAACAGACGGGCAGACGGCCTCTACTTCTTGCCGTCGGCCTTCTTCGTCGCCTTGGTCCGCAGCTTCATCATGATATAGACGAGGGCGTAGAAGCCAATGCAGAAGATGACGACGATGGCGGCATTTCTCCAGCCAAAGTACTTCTCTTCCAGGTTGAGCGTGCGCAAATAGTCACCGCCCTCGGTGAACTGACACACCTCGCAGCCGGCCGTCGCGTCCGGGTTGAGCAGGTTCGCGCCACGGCCCATGGCGGTCTGCTGGAAGGCGGCGAGGTAGTCGCCGCACGTCTCGTTGGCGGGCGGGTCGAAGATGGCGAGCTCCGAGGGGCGGCACCGCACGGGCTTGTCCCAGGTCGTGAAGACGAGGAGCGAGCTCATGAGGTAGTTGTAGGGGTCGAGGTAGTACATCCTGTCACGCGCACGCGCGGGGGTTAGCCTACCTGCGGAAGGATGCAGCGAGAGCTTGGGGCTGTTCGGGACGTACCAGTATTTCCAGAAGTCTTCAATCTGGCTGTAGGGCACCATGACGCCGCAGAAGGACACGAGCGTGGTGATGACGAGCGGGTTGACGAGCGAGGCGAAGACGGCGTTCGGCGCGTAGGCGGCGATGGCCTGGCCGATGCCGGTGTAGAGCAGCTCGTACAGAATCTGGACGCGTGTTAGTTGTGCATGTTTGCGAGAGGATGGAGGCTGTCTGATGGACTTACGACCACGAAGAAGACGCTGCCTGCGTGCTCGGCACCGCTCGGAAGGCCAGCGGTGAAGTACCAGCAGACGTAGTAGAGCAGAGCGCAGATGAGCAGGTAGGGGAACTCGGAGACGATGAGGCCGGTGACGAACGGCGCCCAGTGGTACATCTTGCTCTTCTTCTCGCGCGCCTCGTAAATGTCGCGGCGGTCGATGAAGAGGGGTTGCAGCTGCGAGATGACACCGGGGGCCACGAAGATGAAGTTGAAGATGGTGAAGAGGTTCTGCTCCAGGTCCGTAAGGCTATCGCCGATGGACCAGAAGGTAAAGCCGTTGAGGAGAGCGAGACTGATGTGCATGGCGAATTTGTTGTCGAGGTAGTCAATGTTGCGGAAGAGCGAGATGTTCATGCGCTGCGTGACGAGCTTGGTCTGCGTCCACATGGACGCGGCAAACTCGTGGCCGTCGTCGACGGTCCCCGTAGGCCGGGCTGCCGCGTCCTCGACCATCCTGTCGATCTCCGCCGAGAGGGCGTCGTGCTCGGGCGACTCGAGCCAGTGCTTGTTCCAGTCTTGGACGACACCAGAGCTCGGCGTGCTGGACACGACGTCGACAATGTGCTCGGCCGGGTTGGCATCGGGCGGGCAGTGCGCTCCGAACCGGGAGAAATAGGACTTGACGGTGCTTGCGTTTTCGCCGATATCACCAAAGTATACCGTCTTACCTCCCTTGGCAAGGAGCAGGAGTGTATCGAACTGTGTGAAGAGCTGGGCCGAGGGCTGATGGATGGTGACCAAGATAGCCTGGCCGGCCGCGGCGAGCTTGCGGAGAAAGCGGATGGTGTTGTACGCAGCCTGGCCATCGAGACCAGAGGTGGGTTCGTCAAGGAAGATCAGGATACTAGGCTTTGACACGAGCTCGACGGCAATAGTGAGGCGCTTGCGCTGTTCGACCGAGAGCCCTGCGCCAGGGCGGCCGACCAGCGTGTGCTCGAGGTCCCTCAGTTCCAGCAGGTCAATAATCGTGTCAACGTATCTCAGCTTCTCCTCGTCGGGCGTGTAGCGGGACTGGCGCAAGAGAGCCGAGAACTCAAGGGCCTCGCGGACAGTAGCCAACGACTCGTGAATATCGAGCTGTTCGACATAACCCGCAGAGCGCTGGAAAGAGATGGGAATTGGGCGGCCATCAACCAAAACAGAGCCGTGGATCGTTCCCTCGGTCTTGCGCTGCGCAAGGACGTCGAGAAGCGTTGTCTTGCCGGCACCAGAAGAGCCCATCAGGGCTCCGAGCATACCAGGCTTGACATATCCTTGCACATTGTCGAGGAGGACACGATCACCGTCGCTGGTCTTGACGGTGTAGGTAAGATTCTTCCAAGTGAAGATGCTCTCGTTGCGGATGAGCTCCTTGCCCACACTGCCAGATGACGACTCAGCACCGGACTTGGGTGAGGTCTTCTCCTTGGCTCCGCCCTCAGCGTCTGGGGCGCCTTCCAAAAGATGCTTAGACTTGTGTTGCTGCTCACGAGGGATCAAAAGGCTGCGTCCGCCCTCGCCCATTTGCTTCCACCTGTTTGTGAAAAAGATGGTGGCGGCAACGAACAACACCCACCATGCAATAACGATACCAAAGTTGCGCCAGACGTGGCTATGGCTGAACGACATGTGGGCGAGATAGGCATCACCCGTGACGGAGGTGTCACCAGGCACAGCACCGCCCACTCTGGTGCAGGATTGTCCTCCTCGGCCGTCTGTGTAGCCAGGACCGCTCGGAATGATGTAGGGGCCGACGCAATCAATCTGTGTGTCATGAAATTCGTTGCCGAGCAGAGCCTCAAAACCGTACGACATGGGATTGATCCAGAATATCCAAACGAACCAAGGATGCATGATAGGCTTGATGATCATGTAGCCCATGTACACAAACAAACCAACAACTGCCAGTCCTGATACCTTTGTCGCAGCGTCGAAAGTAGGGAATGCTGCGCCAATGAGTCGGAAGAGCGCCGTCATGGACATGGCCGTCATGAAGTTTGTGATCCAGTACGTAAAGAAAGCCTCGGCCGTAGTCTTCAAGCCGACCATGAAATAGAAGACAAGACCGAAGTGGGTAACCTGGAAGAGAAGAATGGGGAAGTCGGCTGCGATCTGTGCGAGAACGACAGCTTCCGGGTGATACAGGGCGAAAGAGCGATGCTTGGCGAGGATGGGCCTGCCCGTGAACGAGTCGGTGACCTCTGAGAGTGCAATGAGGGCGTTATACAAGATGGAGAAGAATAAGGCGCCGCCCTTAAGGAAGAGGCCGGCCGAATTGTCAGGGGCGTTGTAGAAGAGGGAGCCACCGATGAGTGCCTGAACAACCGTAGCGACTTGCTTGAGAATCAGGGTGGCCTTGTCTCCCCACATGATCTGGTATTGCCTCGTTACAGCAGCCCTGATCTGAGTGAGGAGGTCGGCAGTGACGGCAGATTTCTGCGGCACTCCGCGGTGCTTCTCACGAGCAACAGACTCTTTGAAGACGGCGGTGTTCTCGGCAGCCTCGGTGCTTTGGGGGTAGGTCTCAATCTCTTCGAGCATCTTGGACCTCACTCTCGAGCCCTCGTATGCAGCGTGAATTTCGTGGGCTGTACGAGGAAACTTGTCTTCGAATCCAGGAGCAATGACGCGCTCCGTAGGAACCGTCACACCAGTCAAGAAATCACCGCGGTTCGAGCCGGAGTCTCGAACAAACCCGAGGCTTTCCATGAAGGGCACAGCGTCGACTCGGGGACCGTAGAAAATCTGTTGGCCCTCGTCGAGGACGAGTACCTTGTCGAAATGCTCATAAATGCCATTTCCGGCCTGGTAAAGAGTGACGATTGTGGTGAGCCCAAGAACGTCGGTCAGCACCCTGATCGCCTTAATCCATTCAAGCGCCGTGCTAGCGTCAAGGCCTCTCGTCGAGTTGTCCCAGCAGAACACGCTGGCGCGGGTCGTCATGCACTCCAGAATCGAAACGCGCTTTCTCTCTCCTCCAGAAACGCCCCTCATGAATGCGTCTCCGACCTTTGTGTGGGCGGTGTGGGAGATGCCGACGGAACGCAGAAGAAAGTCTTTTTCGGCCTGAACATACTCCTCGGCAGAGTTGATACCGGGGGGCAAGACGTTCGGGACTTTCATGCGTGCAGCAAACTTAATCGTGTCCTCCACGGTCAAGGCAGGGTAGAAAATTTCCTCCTCCGTGTTCATGATGATCTGGCCATCGTATTGACGGGCCTCTTTCGCAGACATGTTTCCAAAAAACACGTCTCCCGTCACTTCCTCGTAACCGAGTCGATTGTTGGAGAGCACACTGAGGAGCGTTGTGCACCCAGAGCCAGGTCGTCCGAGAACGAGGAGCATCTCTCCGGGCTTGACGCAACCGTGCGAGTTATGTATGATAGTTTTCAAAGGAGCATCCTTGCTCTTCTTGTGGAAGGGATACAGCTGAGAAACGACGTTTTCGTTGAATGTAGCGTCGCTGCTGATGCCCCTGACCGCGAGGCTGTCCCAGGTTACACCGAGTCTTCGAGGCTTCTCTCCGCCTGACTCGTCGTTGTTTTTCCTCTCGCGTACTTCAGAGGCCATGTGCCATGCTGAGCTGCTGGCAGCAGGTGGTGAAGGCGACTTGAAGCTGTAGTCCCCCGTTTCGTTGTCCGTGTCGGCGGCCAGCGTTTGCTGGTCTGGAGTGATGGCCTCCATGTCGACGACTGTCGAAGATAAAGGTGGCTGTGACAAGAGTGGCCTGTTGATTCGAGGAGTTGAGGGTGTAGGGGAAGATTGTCTTAAAGATTCACTCAATCAATGTAAGGAACGCCATCATTATCATCCACGATGGAAAGAGATATAGTCTTGGGCGGGAGGCACGTTTGCGGTCATCTCTGGTCAAAAATGTCTGTATACCAATGCTTACGCAGGGTCTCGTAGAGTGTTTTCCAATCACAAAAGCTTCCGCGATGAATCATCATCGTAGCCACGGCCATAATCTCAAGGGTGAGGCAGTGTCCGTCTCGCGGTCATGAAAGCCGTAGGACCCACAGGTTTCGCCCTCAAAACCTCCGGTATAACAGGAATGCAGTCGGGCTAAATAACTTGATGCGTCATTACTTTTGATGGAAAAGAAAACGCTCCTTCGGAGGATTGATGAAAGTTCTCGTTGTCATTAGGCGCCTGCCTTTGGGGCATAGATATGCCATGGGGCACGACGTCGGAGGGAATTGATGATTACCTGTCAACCCCGAGTCCTCGGGTGGATTACCGCGGCGCCATGCCTCATTGAGCCAAACGGCAACCCCGAAACCAGTCAAAGTTTATGGTATCAGGGCCTAGAAGATGAACATGTCTCAGCGAGTCAGGGAAAGTCCTGCTCTTGATCAAACCCTCCGCGGAGGCTTTCATAAAGAGGCCACGAGTTCCAGCCCGTGGAACCGACAACAGCTTTGCGAGACTGCCCCTTTCTGCCCAGAGCCGCGCTGCACCTCAATCTCAATCCACACACACCGATCGCCTGTCAAGCCATCTTGACTTGCACACGTTCATTCATACAACAACCCCTCACATCTCCAAGTACGAATCTGTCAATGGGCGTCTCAACAGTTCATCCTTCGCAGAAGCGTATATCGTGTGAAGTGTGCAGGAAGCACAAGGCAAGATGCCAGCGTCTCAGCTCCAGTGACGCGAAATGCTCGCGGTGCACTTTGCTTGGCATCGAATGTGTGACTGGGCAGCAGAAGAAGATTGGTAGGCCCAGGAGGCGCCCAGTCATCGCGGGGGCCGAAGCAGCACAGAATCGATATTTGGAGAACACAAAGGCGTCCCCTGTGCATCACCAGGCCACGCTGAACCGTGAGTATTCGGGGCACCACTCAAGTTCCCCGAACACTTCTCCTGGGCCGATCACTCTACAAGGAAATCATCAACTTGGTTGGAATCTTGGCAACCTGTCTCCATCCCCCACATCTACACCTCCGTCGCAAAACCCAGTCATTGACAATGAAGCTCTTGGAACAGCAATGTGGCCATCTTTTGACGTCGAGTCCTACGATCAAAACACATTCACAGGACCAACACTTGATCACTACGGAGATGGGCCATACATGTTTGAACCGAGTTTGGATTTCGACTTGTCGCCGCAAGCCCCATACACAACACAGACGCCAATGGCCATGCCTTCCCCCCCTGAAGAGTTTTGCGAAACAACCAGAGTTACCATGACAAAGCCGATATTGGATCATGGCGAGGTGGACGATATAGCCGTGTCGGAAGCCATATCCAAGCTTTCAAAGATGAATCTGGACTTGCACATTCGCGTTACGGCCGCCGAGATGCACAAATCTGATATCAACTTCAATCGCATCATCTACGACGACAGTCCGCTCTTCATCGACAACACCACGCTGGCAGACTTCATACTGAAGGCATCGCAGGAGATTCATCTCATCATGACGCGATTACGCGGCAACCGAACAACCCGGGGGCTGTTGGGTGGCTTCGCCAACGCGGACAAGATTCTGGCGAGCTTTCTTCCCCCCTCGCCGCAATCCAGTCAAGGTGAAGTCTATCCTGCGGGCGCAACTCCGTCTCATCCATATCCGGCCGCCGCGGGCGAGCCGCTGCTGGCACCTCTCGCCCTGACCCTCACAAGCATCTACACCCAGCTGATCACCCTCTTCGAGCTGATTCTGGAGCACCTCTCAACCCGGATCGAACGCATTGGTTCGGATCCCATCGCACCCATCAACGGACTCACACTTGGGGGCTTGCCGTTAGTCAAGCCGTGCGTGCAGGGTATGATGTTTGCCGAGGTCATTGTCCAGATCCTGGTCAAGTTCGAGCAAGCTTTGGGGATAGTCTCGTCACCTGAGGGTAGCGGCACAGGTCTGCTATCCGCGCGGCAGATCAGCGTTCTGTGGAGCGAGCTGGACGAAGGGCCAGGCATCATGCCAGGCCAGGGCATGCTGAGGCCAGCAAGACTGAAGAAATCTTTTGAGAGGGTGGCTGCCATTTTCAAGCACCTTTCCATCGAACTATAACTGTATTGTATCTACCCTAGAGAGTCTGGCGGCTGGCCTGGTTAGACGTGACGTATGTGCTCTGCATTGTCTGATTGAATTAGATTCTGTATTCTTGTTGAACTGAACAAGCACGCCGATTGTGAGAGGAGAAGGCCACGGAAGTTGGGCCGTTTCGCGAACAAAAAGACCTCGGATTCTATCAAGGAGGCTCAATTACGCATGTCACAGGCTATGATCATCCAGGTCAAGGCTTTTGAACACCAGTACTGGCCGCAGAGAGGGGTGCCTGGTTGGCAAAAAGGATTGAAATCACCAACAGCAACACAGCGCTACGCGTTGAGTTCCGATGAGATATGGATATCAATACCGTTGGTGGTGTCATCTGTTCCTTGCACCCAACCGTCAGCCCTGGTGCAGCTGTCCATGATGCGACTAGCAGTCTCGGCGATTTCGCGACTGAGTATTTCAAGTCAGTACAGAAACGATTGCGAAACGGTTACGGTGAGCTTACAAGGTGGTCTTCCCTCTAGCGTTCTGGCCAGCGCCTCCCCATATCTGCGCAGTGCCGTGAGCGCAATAGAGTTGCCGGGACGTTGTCATTGTGACCTCAGTGTCCGGGTTCTCGCGAAGCTGGTCAATGCAGTGGACAGCATCCGTGACCTGGTCTTGTCAGTCGCGCATGTTATTTTTGCCAGGTGGTGGAATCTGACGGGAACTTACGCGGGATTCTTGCCTTTCCAGCTGGTTACAAGAAGCATGGTTCTCCGAGCCGGCGGTGTTCAACCCCGCTAAGAATGCATCAAGGGCCTCCTGCAAAGACAAATGGTCTCCTTCGGGGTTCTCGGCGTAGTCAGAGACCCATTTCTCAATCGAGAAAAAAGGGGCTGGCTGCGCAGAAATATGAGCCTCGGCGGCCGGGGAGGCGGCAACCAAAGGAGCCAAAGCCACGGCGGCCAGCACAGGGAAGGTGAGGGTGACCATGATATCGAAATGCCTCAGCTGAACAAGAACTCGACCCAAGGAAGCAGTGAAGGGAGCAATCGGAAGACCAATCTGCTGTGTGCGAAGCGCTTATATGCGTCAAAAAGATCAGATTCTGTCATTTCTTTTTAGCCCCCAGTCAACCCTCATGTTCTTGGCCAACAGGGCCCTCATGATCAAAATGCATGCAGACACCCGCCCTTGCGCAGTGAATTGAATGTCGCGTCAGGTACCTAACTGCCTCAGTGGAGGAGCAGCCAATCGGGTACAAGACCTTACCATCGTCAGTTTGCTGCCAAGCGCACTTCGACCCCCTTGCTCCTTGTCTCTCAACCACCGACTTGCTAGCGCCAACAACGTTTGATGAATGTTACCATGCGCCCCGTGCATCTCGACTCGGAACACGGGTCTTACCCGTTCAAGCAAAAGTTGTCAGCATTTAGGTTGCGGAGGAGTTGAGCAGGTGGAGTCTTAGCCCACTCTGGGTCTTTCTGTTATGCCAGCCGTATCCGATACGGTAACCTTGTGCCAACGCGGCGCCCCACTCATGATGCATTGTTGAAAGTGGTCTGCGTATCTCGAAGCTCATCGTGAGCCATCATTGTCGAGATTGGGGGCACTAGTCACCTTGGCCAAGATGTCTTTTTGGGACGCCTAGGCCCTATCACTCAGTCTCGAACTCAAGGACCTCAACTTGCCTTACGGGCGACCGATCAGCGATCAGCGGTGTGGGATTCCTGAAATTCTCCAACGAAGCCCATCGCAGTACACCTGATCAATCTGCTAGCGCCAACCGCACAACGCCCACCTCGAGATGCATACCTCAGGCCATTCAGTTCGTCTCGGCGCTTTCGAATCGGCGCGCGAGGGTCGATTGGTCGCGGATGCAGCCTGACCGAAATAAACAACAGGGGGAATCGTTAACGTAAGCCGGATCGGATTTTGAGGGTTCCGGAGCAACGGGCACGGCCGCAACTGCATGTGTGCGGGCCATCTCACTACCTTGGTTCCAGAACTTATATTGCGTACCTGATGTCAAGCCCTTCCGTGGTAGGAACGAAATGCTGAGACTTGACCATGAATGAAGGTAGGGGAGACTCCGGCATATATGTACAGTTTGACGTTACACAAATGCTTTGGTAAGCCAAACGAGTGCCTCGAAGCTTCATCCATATCAATATTATCATCCACTTCAGCATGCCTAGCTAACAGTGCGGCAGCCTGCCACGTAGAAGCTCGAGGTCCCCATCTAGCTATCAATTAAGTCTGGTGGAGAGAACAACATTGATCTGCTGGTTGAAGACCCACGATCCTTGCACCCTGCCATCAGCTCTCGTGCAGTGATCCATAATCTTGCCGCCAGACTGGGCTACTTGGAGGCTGTTGAGCTGTGAGCAACTGCCCGACCAGAGTTGTGAGGGACACAGAGGCGAACGTACTAAGTGATCTGCTTCACCTGTTGCAAGAAGGCGCCATTCGTTGACGCCCAAAGCTGCGCTGTACCACGACCACACCAGGATCGGGAGGCCTGTCCTGCTGCGATGTTGGCAGATTGCGACCCTTTTCGGCTGGCCTCGTTGATACACGCCACCGCATCCGCAATCTGAACACGTTGGAAGGCTGATTAGGCTATCAAAGAGGCTGCGATGAAAGACGTACACGGCATTCCTTGAAAGGAATGTGATTGCAGATAGGAGATCGCTTTTGCAGTCGAGTGCTGTTCAATGTAGCTTCAAATGCAATGACAGCTTCTTCGACAGAAAGATGGTCTCCTTCGGGATCGTTGCCAATGTCGGTAGCCCATTTCTCAATGGAGAAAGGGACGATTTCAACGTTGTCCGGACTTGCTGCCGCTGGAGCAGCAGTGACGAATGGCAACAACGACAGCATGGCCAGGGCCGGGAAAGTAAGTCTGACCATGTTGGAAGAGAAGAGATGACTGTCTGTCTGAAGCGATTTGACGTGAGAATGTGCTCTGAGGAGTGAAGGGTTTTGAAGAGAAGACACAAGCGGATGCGCCGTCTTTTTATAATTTTCTGTTGGCACGAAGAAGCGGTGGCAAACTGAGCAGGCCGTCGGCCTGGCAGCGGCTCAGGGCCCAGCGTAATTGTTCCTTGCGCTGAAGATGCAGGACTCGCGCAAGGATGGACTGTTTCCGCATGTACGATCAGCGGCTCCCCGCTCCAGTCTGATGGCCGTGTTGGTTGTATGGCAGCATGCACTTATTGTTGAGCATGTTTGTACCAATGATGGGTCTTGTGCCTAGCCACGAAGATATGGGTGGGTATTCACTGGTATACTAGCGCCAACTGCCATATGCATCTCGAAGCATCCTGGCGGCTCACAGGGTTGAGCTGCAGCGGACCACATACCATAAAGGTCATGATTTCTTGGCGAAGGGTCCAAATGCGCATTCACAAGCATAAGCACAATACCATGGATGACCAATGATGACCTTCAGGTAAAATTTTACTGAGCCCTTCATGGTAGTTCAGCATGAGGAACTGACAGCAGATTGAGGCATACAGTAGCAGTCACTAGTATTGCGAGCGAGATTCACCCCATGACAACATACACCTCAAGTCCCTGTAGAAATTTCCAGTTCGAGGCAACTATCTACCTAACTAGGCAAGGCAACGTACGATCGTGGGTCAGGGAGCTGTTAGTGCCAGCATGATGTTCACCCACGAAGGTGTCTTGGCGTATATCTCCAGTTGCTGCGGCAGGACTACCTCCGTGCGCAGACGAGACCGAGATTGCCACGGCTTAATGTGTGCATAAAATGTACTGAGAAAAGAAAATAAAAGAAGAATCTTAGGCTTTTTCCGTATTAAGACACGCGGTTCAGCATCAGAGGTGGTGTATGGTCGCATAAGCATGTGTGGACGTCTAGATCAGGCCATCCACTGATACCAAAGCCCGTGACCGCTTGATTATCTCGAGAATCGACGTTCGACTACAGCGCAGCTTTACCCAAGGTACTCAGTGAGCAGGGCCACGCAGTGCTCCAGATGATAAGTAGAGGCTGACGTGATCCTGACGCGACGATGGGCGGCTTGCAGGTGAAAAGGCAGAGCTCATATCAAAACCACCTGTGGTCATCATGCCTTAAGTTCGCTTGCTGGCTAGATCTCCCGAGCTCGAAAGGATTCGTGATTGGGGTGATGGTGATACCTGATCAGACACGGTCGTCTGCCTCTACGCATTTAAATCATGTCGGCCACAACACGGATTACTCATCGTCTACACACGACGCTTCAGACTTGCTCTCGGAGGAGCGGCGATGACCACTTGGGAGGAAGAGAATTAGAAAACATGGCAGGCACCAAGCGCAATATCCTTCGAAACCATGATTGTTTGTCAATTGCTTGCAACTCAATGAATTGTGGAAACCAACCTCCTCACCTGACGAAAGGCAGGCAGACTGAGAGGTCAAAGTTACACAGGCCAGTGCTGGGCTGGGCTTTTCTCACAGAATAGCCATCATGATAGTGTGACTTTGGTCTGATTTTAGATCTCTGCCATGCTCACCGCACCGCGTCGCTCGCTGTGCGCATGAGGAAGCTTGAGTTGAAGCAGCCTTGCTACATTTCACGTCATCAGCCTTCCTGCTGTGCCGGGTGCCGAGCCGGGCCGGCGCCGAAGCCATCTTTCAAAGCGGCCGGATCCACCAGCCCAGCCCGGCTGATCAGCCCCATCAGACACGGCAGAGTGCCGGACATTCTCGGCTTTTCTACTCGGATGCCTTGCCCTAGCATCCACGTCTGTACACGAGCCGCAGGCGCGTAGTCAGACATGAGACAGCACCTGGTCAGATTCCGACCGCACTAGGAGAAGACGCACAACCCGCTCGCGCCAGCTGGCAAGCATCACATCACCACCGTACGAGCTCACCTGCATGGTCGTCATACACCTTGCACTTGATATGCTGCTTGGAAAAGACTTCAGACTGCTCGACGTGCTTACTCAGTAGGTATCTGTACTGAACGAAAACTCAATGAACACTGGCCATCCGTGCAACCCACCTCTTCCGCGTTGTTCCCCGATTTCGACAGCATGACGCAAGCACCATACCCGAGCTCGAGCCACCTCGACGTTCCAGACCACGCTCTTCCGCTCGGCGGGCAGGGCTTAGACACCTAGCCCGCGGGAGCCAACCAGGCACAGATCTTCAACGGGGCGCTGGTAGCCCCTGAAAAGCGCAGCCACCAACGTGTATCGACTGCATGCAAAAAGCTGGAAAAACAAAGAAACAAGGATGAAGGCTTGGGCGATGGATGGAGCTGTCGGCGGAAAAGAAAGCCTTAAGACAGGACGCCTCCCCGGACACGACTGCCGAAGAGAAGGTCGAGCGAGATGCGGTCTACGCAACCTGACATGGCGCGCTACGAATCAGTCATTCAGCTTGTTATCAACGTAGCGATTCCACCTCCTGGCCATTCGTGCGGCGGAGTGGGGGAAAAGAGAGGGAGTGCCGACAGAGCGTGAACGTGTGTGGACCAGCTGAGCTCATTTCATTCCAGAACGACAGTGCACGCCACAGAGGCTTGCCCTCTCCTCCCGCCCGCTATGCCTCAGCCCGTTAACAAGAACCCGGCCAGATCGGATAGTGGGGACGGCGGAATAAAACCTCTCAAACAATTGTGTTGATTGCACAATTATCGCACACGTCATGGTATAAGGATTGGGCTTTTCACTTGCTGCGGGTTGAATCGCCAGTAATCCCGGGCGGTCTACATGTAGGTATTGATGGGATGCATCTGCCAGGAGCGTTCAACGCGTGCTCGATTATCGTAGCTGGGGCAGGATGTTGGTCGAGCATTGCCGGATGTGTGTTGAACGTGTACATGCAAGGATCGTCGTATTCGATGAAGAAAAGCAGAGCTTGACTGAAGTAGAGTTTGTCATGAACATGTGAGTCGACTGAGTACTCCGCTCGTTCCAGGCATCCACAACGTGGACGAGCACGCCGCTGGCGACAAAGCTTCCTGAAAGGGGCCATGAGTGCGTACGATCACGCAAACACCCGGAGGCCGGTGGTCCTCTTTAGAAAAGTCCTCATCTCTTTAACCCTGCTGGTCTAAACAATAAGCAATGCGCAGCCCGAGAGCGAGCTGCACATGCGGCGGACAGCGCGCGGAGGCCGGTTCGAGCGCCGAACAGATAGATGGCACAGGCACTTCGTATCCATGCCGGACGGCCGAGGACACATGCATGTCGCGTACATGCTGAACACGGAAGAACCGGATGGTTTGAGAGGGAGAGGAAGTGTGGGAGGAGGGTGGGGCGAAATGGCCCAAGAGCGAGAGTACTCTACCCAAGCCGACCGAAGAAAGCCTTGGGGCAACGGGGGAGGACCTTGCTGCAGCGAGCATGTCCTTGATTGATGATTGCCATGACCCGCCATGGGGATGCCTGCATCTTTAGCCCCCATTTGTGGCCGAACTGACTTTACGAAGCAGGCTGTGCCTCATGCGAGAATCTAAAAGTCAATCAAGCTGTTTCTCGAATATCGATAGGGCAGCCGCATTCCACAACTAGGACGCACTCCCGACGGAATGTTTGCATGGCAACTGTGGCAGCCATTCGAAGAGCGACACGAGGTAGCAGCGGCTGTGCTGGCAATGATCGGCCCACTTCCAAGACACCGAGAGGAGAGAAGCTGGAACGCCTGACAGAGCAGTCGAGATCGAGGTGGGCGCGAGCTTCGACACGACAGTGTGCCGGCAGCGGCACAGCCGAAAGCCACAAGCGCCATAGCAGTCGGTATCGAAGCCGCCATGTGCAACACTGCAGCCTCCCCGAACAAACAAAACCGGGTGGTTTTGTTGCTCTGTCGTGGGCCAGTCGAGCGGAGCCTGGCCTGGTCATCCAGGTCGCAATGTGCCCAAAAGCAGACAGACGGCTCAGCAGAAGTGGTGTCCATCGCTCGACAATACGCTTCAGCTGGTGACGACCCTTGTGAAAGCTACTGCACTTTGCACAAAGAAAGCGGGCAGAAAGTGTCTGTTTCAGGCTGCGACCTTGGAACCCCCTCGGCGGCGTTTCGCAATTTGTGCTGTCGAGCGGAGAAGCAATCATGGACAAAAGTTATGCTTGTCTACCTTGATTGTGTACTTACTTGGTTCTGTGGCTGGCACATTTGTGCATTGCTGTCCGTCTTGTGCTCGTTCTCTTGGGCCGGCCTGGCTGTCTCGCATGCCTTTCGGCGATCCGTGTGCCTTGACTTCAGTGGGAAATGCTGAGCGCTGATCGGGCCTGACGAAGGGCCCCATGAAGGGGGCAAGGGGGCTGGATGCTTCGACAAGCAAAGCAAGCAGGCTTCTCGATTCGATTCGACGCCTGTCATGGCCTGCTCCAATGCCCAAGTTGACGACCTGTTCACGGCCTTGTAACATGATCATTGAGGCGAGTCGTGAGAGCCAACCCAGGAATCCTACCGCCCCTGACGGTTGCATAAAAGGAACCTCGTGAAGACAACCATACCATTGCGTACATGGTAGTACATGTAGCAGTACCATGTAAAGTAGGTGGTAGCACATGGTATGGACCAGGAATTACCACACCCACTACTTCACGAAAGATGGACAAGAGGGGAGTGGATCGGGGGCTCAAATGCACGCCGTCTTGATCCGCTGGCGTGGGAGAGGGGGTCTCCAAGACTCGCTTCTGCTGTTGTGAACGTGGCAGGTGTTAAGCACTGTCAGGAAATCTTCGTACAAATGTTAATAGGAAGAGAGGGCCAAGGTTCGTATGGAAGGTAGCAGATACCTGGTCATCTATCCTTCACTTGTATGGTAGGCCTGTTGCCTGACAGCGCGGGCCTTTGGGATGGATCTACATGGCTCTGACCAATCAGTCTGGCACTGAGGAGGCCTAGGTCAGGAATAGATCGTGTTGATTGGTTCACGTCAATTAGTCGCCGAATGCGGCTTTTCCTGCCACACGCCCGGGCGTGCAGAGTTCGTGTGCTACGATGCGACTGCGGGTAGGTGCCAACGGTCAACAGGGCATGATGACTGGCGGGCCTTCACTCAACACACTCCCTCGGTTGTGGCATGACCCCCTGAGTGGAGCAGCAATCTCGCTTTCCTTCCTCATCAAACCCACTTCCAACAAAACACGCCAGTCCCTTCCAATTCCTGCTGCGGGTCCTTTCGTTCCCTCGCCCGTCAGTTCCAGCCTGTCCAGTCCTGTGCGTGCCCAAGTCCCACTGTTCACTGGCGCTTCACCCTCGTTCATCCACCCTCACGTTCTCCTCTCTCCCCCTTCCACCCACAGTCACTCTCTCGCTCTCGCCCATCGATCGTTGTTCGGCAACACCAAACGCCCATCAACAACAGTACAGCGTTATCCGCTCTCTCATTCTGCTTCTCTACGAGTTTCTTTGAGGGGGGGAAAAAACCTCAACTCTCGACCGGGTCATACACGTCGGAGACCCTGCGTCGTCCTCGGATGCAATCACGCCAACGATTCTACACATCGACTAGACTCGAATCACGAGTACGATCATCAAAAAGATATTGACCGACTTTGTCTGGTCCTCGAGGGAACCTGACCTTTTGACCGACGACAACATCCCCGAGTTCCACGGTACGCGTTCAACGTCTAGTTGGCTCAACCGGCATCCCAACCGTTGCCGACCATTGGCTCGAACCCTCGACTCTCGTTACTTTCAACTTTCCCTCGACCTACCTCAATATGAAGTTTTCTCAAGTAGCTTGGGCCTGCCTGGCCGCGGCCGCCTCGGTGCAATCCCAAGAAGCACCAGTAAAGGTTAAGCCGTACCCTCAGGGTGCACCTCTGCTCGACAACCAAGTATACCAGGGTTGCTTCAGTTCTCGGGGCGAGCTACAAAAGATCTATTCCGACAGGAACGTCAGCAATGGAGCCTGTGCCGGTGCATGCAAGGCGAAATACAACGTGTACGCAATGAACGGCGCTACATGCTACTGTGGTGATACCTACCCTGCCGCAAAAGACCTTGTCGACCAGGACAAATGCAACTACAACTGCCCAGGCTATCCTTTTGACGCCTGTACGAGCCTCCTCCTCTCCCCATGCATTGACCTTGAAATTGATAAGCTGACAACGAACACAGGCGGCGGCATCAAGGACGGAACCTTCTATGATGTCTTCAACTCTGGTCTCGATGTTGTGGTTGAGAACTTCGTGCCCACAGTGACGTCGACTTCGTCGATACCTTCCGCGACTCCCACAGACGTCTCGAACGCTCCATCTACAACGGCTGGACAAGACGCCGTGACATCTGCAAGCAACGCCCCTGCCGAGAGCGGCAAGGCAGATTCTGGGAATGGCGGTCCTTCCATTGGCGGCATCATCGCGGGTGTCGTTGTAGGCGTGGTTGCCATGGCTGCTATTGCTGGCGCCATCTTCTGGTGGGTGCGTCGCAAACGCAACTCCGAGATCGAAGAAGAACACCGCCGCAACGCCGCGGTGAACTCTTTTATTGCCGGTGCGAAGCCTCCGAGCAGCAGCGGCGGTATTTCCATGACCGATTCTCGCATGGATCCCGGTTTCGCTCACCGCCGAATGAGCGACGGCAGCATCGCCGACAACCAAGACTATTCGCGCAAAATTCTTCGAGTACGTTTTCATAGCTTTCACAGTGTCAGAGGGACCAACTAACATGGCCAGGTAACCAACGCATGAGAGAGCGCCATGCCAGGTACGACGAACGACCTCTGCCCGTGATCACCTCACCACAAATACACTCATTTCCTCGGCATTTTAGGCGTTTCTGATGTTTCTCTCGCTGGTTTTACTTTGGGCGGCTTGATCGCCGAGGCGATACGAGCACGGTGTTGATTTGTATTTTCTCGTCTCATCTGTCTTGTCACGGTGCAGGGATATCCATCAGCTCGAGGTTTACGACGGAGGTTCATTTGCGAGTTGGATTTTCTTTTTCGAAAACGCACCATTACCGCCATCCAACCCACCCAACGGACACCGAGCAACAATTACGCCATCCACTCCTTCATTTTCCCAGTCTACAGCTCTTATTCTTTTTAGACCTTCAGAGGTATACCGGGTGTCTCGAGACACCCTTCACCCATCGACTCATGGCACGGCCCATTGACCACCGGTTTCTGGTTCATGGACAAGGCTATCTTTGTACATGAACAGAGGAAGATGATCGCTGGCCGGGCCTCCTACATACCTACACATACCTGTTTTACGATTTTCGGATGGATCAGAGGTGGAGATGGAGTACTGCAGCACGGACGGCTGAGGGAGTCTCGTGGCGTGTATAGATAGAGTGGCCCCCGCAATCCCACCGGCTGAGCCACGGATATACTGCGGCTGTCCTGGTCCGAAGGGAGGGGGGAGGAGCTCATGTGTGCTGGGCTTCTGGGATTGGAGACGAACATGTCCGGCATCCGGGGCAGGCTGGCTCGCGTTGGATGCTGTGCCGTTGGGGATGCGCTGACAGGCGTGTGGGTAGCTCGGTTTACGTAGAGCTACGCATTGTAATCGAGCATAAAAGTGATCAGAACTCATCGCTGCATATTGGTGCGTTTCCTCGTGTTCCTAATCCCAAGGTCCTACAAAAGTATCTTGTCATTTACTTCTGGAGATTTCAGAGCCGTCACGGCAAAAGCCAAGGCCCCATAAACGCGGTCACGGTGAACGCAGCCCAAGCGACAACGATTTTCCAACAACAAATAAAGTCATACATCAAATCGAGCCAGAGCATCACAGGAGCTCTCCTCACCCGAACCCACGGTTCGGGGATGACCGACCGGCCAAGAACCTGGGAACCGAGGAGGGCCGTGTGGGTTCGCGGGGGAACCAACCGAGACGGGTGTGCTCAGATGCGCCAACAAGTGCCGTTCCCTGTGCTGCGTTCAGGTACAGCGTTGGTGGGGGGAGTGCGAAGGAGGCCGCCCCCCCTCTCTCATTGTTCCTCGCTGACTCCCTTACTACTGGCCGTTTGGCTGTCTAAGCTAGCTGGGAGCCCGTCTTGGTCACGGGGGCGACGGGCAGCAAGTTACACAAACTTGAGGGGGGAGGGGGCAGACCGTTTGGGTTTGGGCGGTTTCGATCGGTTCGGGCAAGACCCCCTGACGATCACGGTGCGATTTATCCTGGTGTGTGTGTGTGTATGTGTGTGTGCGGATGAAGGCTCCATTTTTCCAATGATTGGGCGTTGGCACTGCCACTTGGGTTCCTGGGTTTGGACGAGGGATGGCTGCATTTCACGGCGCGGGCTTGTATGTCGGGTAGCTTGAATGAATTGGACGAGGAGGCTATGCTGTGCCAGGGAAAGGGTTGAATAGTACTTGGATACTTGGTTTGTGCGAGGGGGTTGGTTCCGACGGCCGGGTTTTGTCTCATGGCCTGGGCTCCTGTTGCAGTGGTCGTGGGGGATGACGTTCACTCTGCCACAGATAGGTCCAGAAGGGGTCTTGCATTTCCTTTTGGCTCAGTGCTGGTGTTTGATTTTATGCTCGACCTTGATGCGGAGATGAGCGATGAGCCTGCCTGTTGTTTCACGCACCGCCCAGGGAGTCGGCAGGATAGACCGATCGTCGGGATTCAGATCGCGTTCGGCGGTGATCTCCAGGTCGTGGCCGTACCAGTCACTGCAGACTCTCAATTTGACTCAGGCGGGGAATATACACGATCAACTGCAAGTTTGTGAGGTGAACGGCTCCTCATCGATTTCCTATGCTATTCCATGCTGCTTCAAGGCCTTTCAAACCGACGGCAACGCTGGCTTCATCATGTTTAACCATTCAAGTCGTGATACGTCTCATCAAGCATTTGTAAACCCATCCCTAATCTCCACAGTGATCTGTATGCCAGGTTCCAAAGTGCACACTCTACTGCAGCATCGGCGCACACTCGCCTCGGTGAACCCGCCAGTCCTTCTTCTGACACTCGGCGCTGCAGTACTTTGCTGTCTGGCATCGGGAGCACTTCTTGAGCGGCCCACCCGTGCCCTTGGCCTCGGTCGCGCGACAGTTGCTGCAGCGCTCCTTTGCGGGGACGTCTTCATTGCTTGCCAGCGAGCGGAATCTGTCAAAGTCAAAGACGTCTTCGACGAACGACACGGCGAACGTGGGGCTGATGGCAACGCGTGTCGCGTGCTTTGCGCCCTGTTCCCAGTACGGTACGCCGACAAAGTTGTCAGGGAAGCGACCGGCGCCGCAGGAACAGAGCACCGATTCACCAGGCTCAACGGAGAGGGGAATCTTGCCAGACTCGGCGTATTCACAGGACTTCTTATGAGACCAACTACGTCCCCGCTCAGCCAGAGCAGGCAGCGCCCTCTTCCACAGGACGAGCTCGTCATCGTCGACTGTGATAGAACAGATTTCCAGGGTGCGCAGGGTCATCAGGAAGTCGCCGACGTCGCCGGACGTGATAATGGATATGGTCAAGGGGAGAACGGCGGCATCGAGGACGATCGAAGAAGAGGCGCCGTCGAGCCGGAACGCCGAGACAAAGAGAAGCATGTGGATCCCGCCGCGATCAGGATGGTCAATGGCAAAAAGCCCCGTCTGACCCCCCTGTAAGCCAGAAGCGATCATGAAAATGGTGAAGAGAGACTCCTTGAAGTTAAGACGAGCAGATGCCGACTTGACTCCTCCATTTTGCGACGCTTCGCGAGCCTGTGCCTCCCGCGGTGAGAATTGCGCAGACGTCAGAGATGTGAGCCATCCAAGTGAGTTCTTGTCAGAAAGGTTCAGGATGGGCAGGCGATCGAGGGCAAGATGGGGAGAATTCAATGTGACGGGAATCAAGCCGGATTTGACATCCTGGGCGGCCAGCGATGGATACATGAAGTCTGTCAGGGCTGGTAGTGACAAAGGCTCTCCAAAGGGCACTACGGCTTCAACATAGCCCGACTTTCGAGCGACGCGAGTCCGTCCATTGCGTGAGTCAACCGGGACTGGAAACGTCATGGGTAGAGCCACGTTAGTGTCAACAAAGACAAACTCCACCGTGAACGGTGACGCCTGACGAAGCTTCACAGCGGCTTTGTTTTTGAGAAGCTTTTCAGCTTGCTGGGGGAGTTGGCTCAAGCGGCCAACTATACTGGTGATCTTGCCGCTCAAGTCAGTCTCGGCCATGAAGCGCGACTGTCCACTAATACCAGGCGTGTCGGTTGAAATATCGAAATTTCCTGGCGCTGCACAATACACTGGGTATCTTTTCTGACCAGGAAGATACTTCGTGACGAAGACATGCTTGACTGCGTCCAATCGTGCCTGGAACACCAGCATTTCCGGGCCGAGAACTGGAGAGTAGAAAGCTAGACTTTGAGGATTGACCTGAACCTCAAGCCCGATCAAGGCCGACTTAGGTTCGGCTTGGAGCGCACCAGTGGGGACATAGAACGAGGCAATCAGCGGTGCGTTACTGGACCACCCGTTCTCATCCTGATCTACGTGCACACGGAAGCCGTCTTCTGTCGCCAGGCCTGAAGTGCTGACTGTGCCAAAGTTCAGATGTACGTCACCAAACGTGTTGTGCCACTGGCTGGCGGCAGTAGGACTAGATCTCAACGATCCCACGAATGTCGGTGCAGAAAGCCTAGCCTCTGGTGAACTGCTGTACAGTCGGGCCACCCCTGCACGCGGAATAACCAACGTAACAGCCACGACTTCGGGGATTCCGGACCAGGCGGCAAATGGCCCAGCAGATGTGCTGCGGCGAATTGCGCTGCGAAGCCAGTCGGGGGAGAAGAGGTTGTGCACGTGGAAAAGTGAGCCTCTCTCTTGAGCATGTTGGCTCGAGAATACGAGAGTCTTGTCCGCTAGAATCATTTCATCTAGTTCCATGCAGATCTCTGCAATGTCTGCGACCAGTGTTGACTTTCCAAGAAACTTGAGCAGTGCCATGAGGCTGCCGCGGTGAAAGTGAGTAAAGACGGAGGTCGGACCGTACTGTGAGCTACCAGGGCCATTTAGTGTTAGCATCGCCATCGGATTTTCGTGTGCGAACATCTTCAGGTACATCTGAAAGACGATCGCGGCAAGCTCTCGAGGCTTAATCTGGACACGGACGGAGGCATGGGTGCCAGACAGGCTTCCATTGTGTTTCCAACTGATACGGCTGTGAACCTGGGCAGGGCTGGTCTTAGAGGCGCTCAGCCCAAGCATTACTTCTTGCAGCGTCGAGACGGCTGTGGCGTTCGTCCAGTATTCAACTGGACTAACGCCTAGGAGCAACGAGACAGTAGGAGCATGGCCGCAAAGGAGGTTGTCGAGGATTTCCTGATCAGAGGAGCTTGAGCCTTTCAGCAGTGTTTCTGTAGATAGCGTCGCCCACGGCTGCGGAGCTAGGAGTGGTATGAGGGACACCAAGAGGTTCAGGGTACCGACATGGTCGGCTAGGTTGGACGTATCAATGACATCGAATACTCTTGGGACACCCGGTTCGACGTTCAACTCGAGCACGCGCGAGTCGAACTGTCGCCTGTACCAGCCAGCTGACGAATCTCGATGCTGCAACGTATGGCAGAAGGCAAATACATCCACAGAAGCAAACCTCACTACCAAGCGACGGGCCTTCAACATGGCACTGCAGGCAATAAGCCAAGCCTTAAATTGGGCCTTCGCCGAAGCCACTGCCTTGAACTTTTCATGACCGTATTCGGGACGCAGCGGTGACGCCTCGACCAGGGCCGCGTAGCCCGTGGCGAGGTGGAACCCCAGAATGGGATCAGTGCCATAGTGAAGGGCGACTTGCTCGGAAAGGGAGGTTGCGATCATGGGGTTGGGAATGGATGGTGCATCGAAGCCGGTGGTTCCCTGCTTCCAGTAGTGCTTGTATTCTTCAGCAACATCTTCTTGTACCGCAGTCAATATGGGTGCTGCAGAGCGCACAGCAGTGGTGACGAGGGGCAGCCCGTTTTCTTTGCTTCGGAATCGTAAGGCCATGTCAGCCAAGGACCGTTTGAGGTGGCTTTGGAAAGTTTCTCCCTGTGCAGAGTCGGGTTTCGTGGAAGCGGCTGCAAACTTGAGCCAGACCGCTCGAACGTCATCCAGCGTACCCTCGTCGCTGAAAGGAAGCATGCTGCCATATACACTTGACTTCCAAGCCTCGAGGCCCTCGGAGGACGCGACCAGCTTTTTGGATTGTGACGACAGGCATTCCATATCCGACCCATCAAGATAAAGATGATAGTACATGTTCCAGAGCGAGCTGCTGTCAAGGTCATCGCCATGATCGATGATGAAGGAAAATAGAACAATGTTGCGGGCTGAAGGGCTGTTAGAAGACGACGCTCGGTATCTCTACTTGTTAGTGAGGGCGTACCTAGAATGCTGGGCTCAGTGTCGCAGCAGGTGATGTCGAGTTTTCGGGGACCTGAAACTCGATCAGTCCAATGCCGCAATAACAAATGAGGGCCAACATACATGATTTTTCCTGCATGTAAGCAGTGAAGAGGATGTTGCGTGCATCACCACAGCCAGCAAGGAGAATATTGGCATCCTGGCCTTGGGGGATCGCACGGGTGAGGCTGATGGCGGGTGTGTTGCCAATGGGATAAAATTGTACCGTAGCACTCGCGACTGAAGGAACAAGCATCGTGCTGATGCCTGGAGCTATCTCTCGCAGTAGGTGGGATGGATCAAAGTGTAACGACCCGAAGCTGTTGGAGGTGGAGTGGATTCAGAGTAAGTATCGCCAATGCTGGCCCTCAGTCGTGGCTGCCCTCTGGAAGGAACTTCTGTGTCGAGCGATCCGGACATGAACCCGATGAACCAAACAAGCGGCGGTGCACGAGTTGCCCCCGAAATCGACTTGGCTTGGGTAGTGTCTCCAGGAAGCTGCAATTTATAGCACAAAATTTGTCGAACTGTATCTGGGGTTTGGCCAGCCAGAGTTCTTTGACACCGCCAAGTGGGTGTTTGCTAGGCAGCCTACCTCAGGTGGTGCAGGTGAAGGTGCAGCTGGGCGGCGACTGAGCGAGCAAACGACACAAACGCACAGACCCGACGAGCTGTCCAGGACCCACTTTGGCATTTCCTCTGTTCGCGATGCTCGTCGCGTTTGGTTTTTGAAGCCTCGTCCAAACCACATCCTGCCATAACGGCCAGCTCCATTGCCGCACCTTCTCCCTCCCTTTGCGGATCCTGTCGATTTGATCTTACTCTCAGCCGATCCAGCGACAAATACCCGGCAATTCCCTAACGGACGGGCATTCCTGCCTTCGCCTTGTCAACTAGTTGTCCCTTTGATCTACGATTGCGAAGCAAAGCCACCACCCGGCCAGCATGGCTTCTCAGCCGAAGCCGCGCGTTCGTCGAACATCGCAAAACACACAGTACACGTATGTCTCCATGGAAACTCTGTCAGCAGCGCTGTGACTGACATGCCATTACAGGTACAATCTGGCTAAACGTATACACGATGTCAAAACATACCCCGTCCTTTCTCCCCAAGGCGCCACTATCCTACTCTACGCACATGGCAACGGCATCACGATTGCGTGGCGCGGTGGCAGAAGATTCAAGGCCCCCAAAAAGGCGACACCTCCTGCCAGTAAGCCAAACGGCAACGCAGCCCCCTTCGCCGACGTGGTCATGCTTGTTGATAGCGACGAAGAAGATGCACCGCCGCCAAAGAAACAAACAGTGGCACCCTACGTCGACAAGCCCGAATTTGCGGACGCCGCTGAGGATGAGCCCTACCCGGATGTCATACAAACGCTCGATCTATCCCTGGGAGCTCCTGCCCTCCAGATCGCCGTGCTGCCCATCACACCCTGCACCGCAGAGGAAGCTGCCGGCGCTGGCGCCGAGACGCTTAAAGACACCATGGTGTTCGCAGTCTCCTGCTCCAACGCCGACGTCTACGTCTTTTCCCTACCTCTGACGCCTCCCAGCCCCGAGAGCAAGGCGCGCCCCGAATTACGGTCGAGCTTGTTGTCAGCCACCGCCGGTTCAGGACAATGGGGAGACACTGTTGTAGTCTTGACTGGACAGACCAAACACAGCCATGGCATTGCGTTGTCTCTCGCCAAACCACCAAAGAGTTCTAGCACGAGCGATCGGATACGCGAGCAGGCCGGAGCTTCACTGGCCGCGCCCAGGAGCCGTCTCGTCGTGGCTTCGCACAACAAGGAAGCCTCTGGTGTGTTACGGCTCTGGGACGTGCCGCTGGATATCAAGGCTGAAGGCGGGGATAAGAGCCGCGTCAGGCCGTTTCAGACTGAATATCTCCCAACTTCCCTGACCGGCATCTCTTTCAACCCCACAAATACATCGCAGCTGCTGGTTGTTGCGGGTTCCCAAGCAGCTCGAATCTACGATTATGCTGCGGCCTCCCTGCCACCGGATGATCAGTCCATCGGCCCATTCCCAACCAAAGGTTCATGGGTTCTATCCCTGTATCAGCCCTTTGCCCGACCCACGGCCACACGAAAACCGATTCTCGATGCAGCCTGGATATCGCACGGCCGCGCAGTGTTCGCTCTCCTGGCCGATGGCTCCTGGGGCATCTGGGATATTGAGGGCGCCAGCCCACTGGGCTCAACACTCCTGGGCAAGCAGAGCTCGGGCATCCAAGGTGCGGCGCTGACTGCCTTCAGCGTATTTGGGCAGATTGAGGGCACGAGTCCGCTTCGCAACGCGGTCAACGGCGCAAGGTCCAGTGGCGATTTCGTCCCGTTGACACCACATAGCCGGCGCGACGCTGCCGCGTCACTCAATGCCGTCACAACCCCCGAAAAGCTCGCCAGTATCAAGGGCGGCGTGACGGTGACACCACTACCGACTAGAGGCTCGCAGTCGGGTGACGAGAGCGTCGTGGTCTGGATCGGAGGATACGACAACGTCTCCGTCATCCCTGCCGTTTCTCGATTCTGGGACGCGCAGCTGCGAAGGAGCTCTGGCGGAGGAGTGAACCTGTTCAGCGGCACGACACCTACGCGGATGGTCCGACTCCAAGACCTGGCGACTGGACTTCTAGGCGAGCGCTGCTGCGGCGTGAGTGCCGCCGTCGACTTTGAGAAGCTGCATGAAAACGACGGCGGTCTGCGAATCGAGGTGCTCATCCAGGGCGAGAGCCGTCTGGTCATCGTTCGAGAGTCTGAGGAGGGCGTGGGCACCAAGGTTGGCGGCATCGTTTCGACGAGTCGACGCCTCTTTGGCGACAGGGGCAAGGCGGAGCCCGCGGACGCTATCATCGTACACCCGCGGCCGAACCAGAGTCGCAATGTGTCCTTCAGCCTCAACATTGGCAAGAAGAGGAGCATACGCGGACCACCCCCCAACCTGCGGGAGGGCAGTGCCGCCTTTGAGGACGAGCCAACCCACGATTTTACGCTACCTATGGGGCGACCAAGGTCCGGCTTCGGATTCAACCTCGACGCCGCGGCCGACGTGGAAGAGGACGTGGAACGCGATGTCGAGGCTGAGATGCTGGATATCATGGAGATTGACCGTGCTCTGGACAGCCTAGACGACGACCGGGGCAGCGGGCGGAAGAAGGTCTTTTTCGAAGACCAATTCACTTGAGAAGCGCGGATTCGGCACGTCACCACGACGAGGAGCAAATTGAGCTGACAAGGTAGATGACATGACAAAATCCAATGTACGATACCCACGGGCGGACGGGCCGCGCCTCAGCAGTTTCATGGCGCCACGTGACAACCCCCATGTACACAGACGACTTTCGAGTCATCATCCGCACGGCTTGGTGGAGCACAAGGCGAGATTCATCCTTGACCCAGCTCTGTATTCCGAGCGGTATATCAAAACAGTGTGACCAACCCTCCCGTCGTGACCGCAAGGTGTGGACTGGAGGGGACGTCTCGCTCATGCCGACGTCTCCTGAACGAGGGGAGCCTCACGGGGCTCTCCTTGTCTATTCAGGCAGGGAAGTTTTACGGGTGGGGGCAAAGGGGGGTTTGGGGCTACGGCCGCAGATTTGACCATTTGCTCTCCCGGCGCGTGTTGGCGCCCTGGCATCTGCTTCTTCTGTTCGAAGGGCGGGGGGCACGGGCCACGCGGGGAGGTGGAACGTCGGTACATTTCGCTGTGATGATTCCCATATCGTGATGTGCCATTCATGTGTTCAGTGTGCAGTGTGCCGTGTGCAGTGCGCGACAAGCAGCAAACGCAGAAGTGAAAGTCATGGTATAATGTGTGTCATTGAAGTGAAAACGCCCCCTGTCATGCAATCATGCAGCTGTAGTACTATACAGGTTTACAAGGTGTGGCTCCTGCCCCCCTTCCCATCTCACACGATGAGCGAGCCTCGCCGTCAAACAATCCATCACGACGGCCCCGTTCACAGGTTCTTCTTGACCTGCTCGGCGGTGCCCTGCGCCTTGCCGGCGGCCTCGTGCGCGGCGCCCTTGGCCTGGCCCTTGAGCTCCTCGGCCTTGCCCTTGGCCTCGCCGCGCAGTTCGGCGGCCGACTTGGACGAGACGTCGTCGGCGGTGGCCTTTACTTTTTGCGCCACGTTGGCTAGCGGTCTGCTGTCAGCGCGAGGCAACAATGGAGATGCTGGGAAGGGGGAGAAAAAAGGGACAAAGAGGAAAGAAAGGGAAAAGAAAGAAAGAAGAAAAACGTACATCCGGCGTTGATGCCATCGACAATCTTGTCGCTGACGGCGCGGTCGACCGTCTTGAGGCTGTCCTTGACCGTCTCGGTCGCCGATTTGGAGGCGAAGGGGGTTGTGGTGAAGGCGCGCGGGGCGGCGAGGGTCGTGGCGCGGGTGATGGGCAGGGCGGCGGTGCGGCGGGTGATGGTCTCGATGAGGAACGACATGGTGATGGTGGTGGTTGTGGTGGTGGTTGTGGTGGTGGTTGTGGTGGTGGCTGTGGTGGTGGTTGTGGTGGTGGTCGTGTAGTGGTAGAGTGAGCTGGTGCTGGCGGCGTGGAAAGATGTGGTAGTTGATGTGGGATGCGACGAGGAAGTAATAGCGTGTTTTTCTGTGTTTCTCGATGAGGCTGCGAATGAGGAGAGGAAGGAAAGGCACGTTTCAGCAGCGAAGCAGACGGCGCTGTAAATAGGTGTTGGGATGGGATGAAGCTCGAGTGATGTCATCTGGAGCTCGTCGTTCGCCTGTGCTCTGTGGGGCGGGTGCCGTGCACACAGACAGACACAGAGACAGACACAGAGACAGACAGAGAAGCGGGGAGGGACCGAGCTCCAGTGCCTACCTTACATGGTAGTACACCCAGTACAGGAGGCACGTGAAGCCGTGATTCACCTGCACGCCACCCCCCATTCCTCTTTCGCTGGCCTCCTCTACCTCCCATGATGACGTTTGCGGCTGCCGACGGGCCAGATCCTCCGACCACTCAGGGATGGCGGACATCTCGCCAGAGTTCGAGACCTCGTTGGGGGCGCGCGCCGGCCGGACAACAGCCGGGGCGGGGGCCAGCCGCTCGGTGATCGAGCATCGGTGATGATGACTGGTGTGGGCTGGGGCCCTCGATGCAGGAATGACGACATGGGATCTCGTGGCTGGCACAACCGTCTCTCCTTTCTCTGGGGCGAATGCAACAAAACGCGAAGAAAGGTATGGAATGGGCTTGTGGCATCTTCGATGGCCTGTTTTGGCCATGTCCCGGGGGATAGGCCTTGCGGTGGTTTCAATTCGACATCGGACGTTTGGCTCGGCATCTGGCTGTCTCACTGGTATATTTAGCTGTCCATGGGGCATGAAACAGCACGAACCGATCAGCCTCCGACCTGATGCTCGTCCTTCTTGAGACCATTTGGTACCGTCGAATAGCCTGGAATCTGCTGCCGATTTTTTGTGTCTGCTGCAGTCCCTGAAGCAATCACTGATTCATTTCGTATGCAGCGTGGCAATTGAAGTCATCGTGCAAGCACAGCTCACACCCTCATGTTGTATCATCGTGGCAGCTAGACTACCCAAATCTGGCCATGGACGGCCCTATGTACAACCTCGTGTCCCTCGTCAGTCCTGAGTTTACCGCCCCTGGAACACGGGCTTCCTCTTCTCCTGGAACGCCTTGAGTGCTTCGTTCCTGTCGTCCGTCGCGACGACGCGCTCGTACATCTTGTTCTCGACCTCCTCGCGCGCCCAGCCGACAGCCTGCAGCGCCGCCCGCACAGCGACGGGCCCGCCCTCGCAGATCTCCGTCGCGACGCGCACGGCCTCGCTGAGGACGCCGCGCCGCGCCGTCTCGAGCATGAGCGTCTGCTTGGCGCCGTCGGCGGGCTTCTCGCCCTCCTTGTGGCCCGGCACGTCCTTGTCCTCGGGGAAGGGGATCTCGACGAGGCGGTCGGCGATGCCGAGGAAGTAGGCCTCGGGCGCCGACACGCGGCGGCCCGTGAGGATGAGGTCGCGGGCGCGCGAGAGCCCGATGAGCGCCGGCAGGCGGTGCGTGCCGCCGGCGCCGGGCAGGATGGCGAGGCGCGTCTCGGGCAGGCCGACGATGGCGTTGGACGAGAGGACGCGCATGCTCGTCGACAGCGCGAGCTCGAGGCCGCCGCCGAGCGCGACGGAGGAAATGGCCGAGATGGTGGGCACGGGGAGCGTCGAGAGGGAGGTGAATGTTGCGCGGAGGGTTGTGAGGAACTCGTTGGTCCTGTCAAGTAGATAGGTGCTGTCAGTCAAGGGTGGTTTCTGCGTGCATTGCATTGCATTGCAGGCAGCACGCCCACCGGCCTCTGACCGAGGCGTGCTGCCACAACATGGTAGGTGAGCTTACTCCTCCTGCGTGAAGCCTCTTCGCTCCTTCAGATCGGCGCCGGCACAGAAGCTCGTGTTGACGGCACTGGCGAGGATGACGGCGCGCGTGGGCCCCTTGGCATCGACGCCGGCGGCGCCGCCAAAGACCTTGCGCGGGGGCAGCTCGTTGCCGCCCTCGTCGTACTGGGCGTGGACATCATCAATCTCGGCGCGCAGCTGGGCGAGCAGCGCCTTGGAGATGGCGTTGCGCGCCGAGGGACGGTTGAGCTCGAGCACGCGAATGTGGCCAGAGCCGGGCGCCGGCAGGTGTGTGACGGTTATGAGCGGCGCCGCCGAATCGGCAGCTGTGGCGGTCGAGTAGAAGCGCGCCGCCTGGACGGTGCGCAGGGAGACGCGGAGGGAGAGTCGAGGAGGCATTTTCGAGTGTGCGAAGAAGGGTTGGGAGTATCAATGGACGGCGGGAAGAGGTAACGTCTGTGCTGCAAGAGCGAGTCTTGGGAAATGGGAACACAGCGTGCTGGTGACGTTCAGCGCCCTCGGTTTTCAGCGGGTACGAGTGGGGTCGCGGCTTTGCCTGTTGCCGTCGATTCACCGAGGTCAAACAAGTCTCGGTGGCCCTCGGTGGATGGTCTCGGTGAGGCTGGTGCACACAATCCAGAGCTGCTGCATGCAGGTTTGGGGGTTTGTGATGCGGGGGCTGTGACGCAGGCCGAAAGGGTACTTCAAATCCTCCGCCTCTTGGTGTTCATAGAGGTCAGTGTCATCCAGATGCCATTCCACCCCCAAACATCTGGATTGCACAGACAATACAAGCCCAACCTCACCTCACGTCAGTAGTTGCCCGCCTCATCACGTCTCACAACCCCGCACTCGCGAGCCGGCGACTAACACCACTGTAGGAATATCGGCAACACGATACGGTAGCAATGACTGATCCCTCCGCCACAACCCTTCCGCCCGAGGCTATCGAGCTTGCCGGCCGTATGTACGATGCCGCTCGCTCCGGCGACGCCACCGTTTTCGCGCAGGCCCTCCCTGCCGGCCTGCCCGTCAACATGACCAACGAAAAGGGAGACAGCTTGGTAGGAAGACCCATCATCCCATTTTAGTCCCCCCCTTTCTCGAAGGCCCCCCCTAAGAATTGCATCGGTCGTTGACGCGTGAGACCTACCGAACAGCTCATGCTTGCCGCGTACTACGGCCACGCCGAGCTCGTCAAGCTGTTCTTGCAGCATGGCGCCGACCCAAATCGGCTGAACGACAAGGGGCAGAGTCCCCTTGCTGGCGCCGTGTTCAAGATGGAAGATGCCGTCATCGAGGTAGGACTCATTTGTCTTTTCAGGGCGCTCTCGCTGACGTAGTGAACAGGCTCTCCTCGAGGGAGGGGCTGACCCTGAGTTTGGCAACCCAAATGCGCTGCAGTGTGCCTCCATGTTCAAGCAGGACGAGAAGTGGAAGGCCAAGTTCGAGGCTGCGCCCGGGAAGGGGAAAGCTGCAGGCAAGCTCTGAGCCCTGTCTGTCGCTGCAAGTGTCGCTGCGACAGCGACAAAGGGATTGTCGTACGGAATAATACTTCGGAGGTAATTCAGACGCTCGTGCCGATGGCCTTCCTATCCTATCTACTTAGGTACTTACCTACCTATCTCGCAATCACTGGCGTGACGCTGTGCTTAGGCCGTCAAACGTGGGTCGATGCTTCCTCATCTCGGTGTCCGAGCCAGTACGAGGCTTCACCGATCAAGAGACCCAGGCACGGCTTGCATGCCGTTCTGTTGGGTGCAGTACCAGCGTGAGTGCACGAACCAAGCGCTGTATGTAAAAACATGCTGTTCATCAACCCCAAGAAGGACTCAATGAGCCATGGTCATCCATCGGTGAAGTCTATGGTTCTCTCGAAACAAGGGTACGAATTCCTCAGCCTCGTACTCACCATAGCTGTCACGACACCCTGCACCAGGTCCATCAGACGGGTGCTACCTCCAACCCAGCGGAGAAAGAAACAGAAATTACGGAAAGAACGATCAGCTGATAGAGACAGGCCTTCCACCAAATGCATAAATGGACAAATGCCCTTTTTCGCACACGGGCACCGTTCACTGACAGTGCATTTTCCCTTTACATTCACCACCTTGGGGGCAACCGTCTTGGCCATAGTACGCATTCGACATCGCCTTCACACTATGATAATTCACACTATGATAATTCACACTATGATAAAATTTTCTCATGGGTCTATAGCCATTCCAGAAAGCTACACAAGGGGCATCCCGTGGAGAAAGCCTTCTCATTCGAAAGCCCTTGTGGCGAGCGAGTGGCGCGGTGACGAGCAGACGCGTGATTTGTTTTCGAAGCCAGCTGACACAGCCGACGAGAGAGCCAGTTCAGGTAGGAATAATTTGCGGTGTTAGTGGCTGAAGGAAGCCCTTCTTTCCAGCTCAAGCCAGAGACCAGAGACCAATCGAAGCCTTCGTCGATAACCGTTCTCGCCTCCCCTGTGTATGAGCGACCGCCGCCAATATTCAGGTCAAGTCAATGCTGATCTCAGCCACGATGACAGCCAAGGCGAGAGCTCACAAAACACCACCGAAGTCAATAGCGATGTGCGCGGCAAGCTTTCTCCGATGTCCAAACGTCACTCGCAAGCACACACGCACACTTTGGCGTGACCTTCCGCGGTTGTCATTCTCGACAGCCTCGCGGGTGACATCAAGGCCTTCGTCAAGAACTCTAGTCAGATGGACAAGTTGATGAAAGCCGAGTGAGGGCCTGTTAGAGACTGGACCACTGGTAGAGTTTCCACTGTACAGCCATCGCTACACCGATCTGGCGATACCCAAAGTGGTCCTGAACCATGTTTACAACCAGCCTCTCTGCTCCCAGGACTATAAAGGGCACCCTCGCCCCTCTCCATTCCTCCAATTCTCCTCTCGAATCTCATCTCTCGACAGAATTGTTCCATTGACAGGTTGACCACACACTCTCAATGCCAGACAGTCCGTCTGACCGCAGCAAAACAATGTCGTCTCCTGGCAGGGACTGCCCGACTCCCAACAACACAGGCGGTGGAGACCGCCAACGACCTGGTTATTGCTCCTGCCTTGGGTCACCAAATTCCGGCAGCTCCTGCTTCACCGACGATTTCTCATCGGGCGGACATGATCATGCCCGCATCAGGGCCGAGGACACACCATTCTTTCGCCGCACCACTGGCTTTAACGAAGCTCCGCGTCGCCCTTCCTATGTGGCGCCGACCATCTCGCCCCTTCGGCCAGTGCCAAGCCCGACACAAATCAGTGGCATATTTGGCAGCCCGCTAGGAACACCAACAACGGCTGAGACCAACCAGTCATCGTCTTTCGGATATCAACCTGGGCTGTATCAGCAACGCCAGGACCTGGATGGCCTCTATCGCGGTTGGGAGGCCCCTCAAGCCTTCAACTCATTAACTGCTTCTCGCCGTCATTTGTCGTCCCAAAGCGCAACGCCCGTAGCACAGAACAACACGGAGAATCGAGGTCGTACGGAGCCCGGACACAATAGCGGCGCACGTGGTATTGCCCATGGTACCAGCCATGCACCAGCTGTTCCTTCACATATTGCAGCTCCTCGCAGTGTTCTTGATGCCGCGCCTGCACTTACCAGCGCCGCCGCGAGGTTACATCAGCCTCCAGCCCGCAGGAACGCCGGCCCTCTGAGTCCGGACCCTTTTAGCTTTGAGGGCCCTCGCTTGGTCCATACTGTGGCTCCACCATCGCGTCTGTCCATGTCAACCCGCTCTGGGTACAATGTGCCACGGCTGGCAGAACCGCCCAGCGCTGCTGTCCCACCCGCACCACTGATCCCACCACGCGGCGGCAAACGCAAGCGCGAGGACAGGGAGGCACAGGAGCAGCAGCTGTTGAAGCGCGCCCGCGACGATGCCGACGAGAGAATTGGCGATGTTCACTTCATCCGCGGTCCGCGGTCCGAGGCTTTCTACTACGACGGTGTCGAGCACACGGAGGTGACGATTCAGTATTCGATCTCGGTACCCACGGCGTCGATTGAGCCGAACGGCCGGTTTGGTGACATCAACTGGCTCAGCGCTGGCAGTGAGACGGACAGCGACGTTGACGATGGATATAGACACTCGGGACGAGGAAGGTGGGATATGATTTGAAGCGTGTCGTCGGACTAGAGGTGGTGGCTGACGTGTGAGACAAGATTGAGAATGACTGATGAGCGAGCACAGTAGCCGATGGGTTTCCCTCCATGGAAGGGGAGAGAATGACAGTGGCAAAGAGCCATGAGTGTTCAGTTTTGACGCGACAAGTGCGGTTACGAGAAGACCAAAGGTCTGCCGAACAGTCTGCTTGACTTGCATCCTCTTAATATGGAAGGTTGGCTCCCTGGGGATCTCCTCATAGCACACAGATAGACAGCAATGAGAACCATCAGTGACAATGACCATCAGTGACAATGACCATCAGTGACAATGACCATCAGTGACAATGACCATCGGTGACAACTCTTTGCCTTGTCGTTGTCTTAAGCTTAAGTTGCCACGCGTCTGTTGTTGGCGCGTCGTCGGATACGAGATCGACCAGCTACTCTGCCGAGCGCGTGGTCACACTGAGACGGGCCAGGGGCTTGTTTCGCGACAATGCCTCTCTGGTTCAGCCTTGAGCCCAGTACATGGGATCAAACACAGCACAACACTATTATTTAAGCCACATATGGCCACATTCATTGTGCTTGGTGTGACAGTCGATGAACCGCCGAGAACCACACAGCCTAACAGCCACCTGAGCCTAGGGCGAAGAGGCTGTGCTGTTCTGAGCCACCCAACCTAACGGGCCTCGACCCTGAAACCACACCACAGGCACCAGTGACCGCTTCCTGTCACCTGCCAACCAGTTGGCCGCCTGCGACCAATTCCATCTGGCCCGCCAACAACACAAACACCCGCGACAAGGGTTCCTCAGGTCGCTTACCGAAAACCCCGACGCCTGATTGATCGCTGGCCCTCTCTGCGATACGCGTATCCGTCTCTGTGCTGCCTCGAGATGCTCCCTGCAGCCAGTCATCTTGGCTGAAGAGATTACCAGACGCAGGCTGACTTGGTCAATAGCTTGAATCAAAGAGACATGCCCCCGTTAGCAGCAGCAGGATACATTCGAGATGAAGCAGGAAATATCCTTAAGATGAAGGCGTCTTGGGCTCGTTTGATCTCGACTTGGCACAGGCACGCCAAGTGCATCCGTAGCACCCGAGCACAGCGAAAGGCAACACTCAAAGACGCGACAATGTCGGCGAGGAAGATCCGCCAGGGCAGCAACAACAACAGCGACTTGCTCGACACACCATGCTGGGCCCATCTTCATCTCGTCAGGCTCCACTGTCTGCTGTCGCGCCCCCGCCCCAACAGTCAACCCGCGCTTCAATAAGGCTGAGCACCCCCTGGCGGCCCCATGGCCACTCCACCCCTACGGCGGACAGTCCCCCGTAAGGGGCTGCTCCAAACGAGAAGGGCCGTCCATCAACCAGAGATCGACCAAGGCTACTGGCCCCCAACTGCCAGGATCGTCGCCAAGACGACCTCTTCTCGCCAGGGTTGTCCGTACGCCTGGCACGTTAACCGCCCGCACTGCTGCCCTGGTTCGCCAAAGTCCCTCGCTTGCCGTCGCGCAAAGGATCGTAGGCTGCATCGGATGTGTGTCGGCGAGGCCACTTCTGCTGCACGCTGTCGTAATGAAGCATGGGGGGAGGGTCCAGAGAGGGACCATGAAGATGGACATGCCCACTGGAACGGTGTGCTGCTTACCTTCCAGGGTCGGCATAATGCTGATCGGACGTCTGGCTCGGGCCTTCAGTCTCTTCATCCTGCTTTTCTCGGGACCGAGGCGGCCCTCTTGTCATACACGGCGTTTCATCGTCTCAAGTCTTCATCTCTGGTACACAGGAGCTTGACGTCTGGTACACAACAAATAGACAACCAAGCCACAGCACGCGCACGTTACGCCTTTCCACACGACAGACCGATTGCTTGCGGACTTTGATCTGTACAAATCAGCATGGTCTTGATGTCGAGAAGCAGGATGCTGCTGGCTTGCAGCCTGCTCTTGTCCATGTCGGGCTGGGCTATCGGTCAAGCCGACAATGACGATGATAGTGCTCTTCGCTCCTCGCCTGCGCCAAAGGATTTCAAGCGGAGATGGCACCCAAGAGGTAGGAAAATCGTCGCAGAATGTCTTCAAAGCTCGTGCAGTGGGCTAACGACCGAGAAGCGACCGTCCTCGGGGACTACATGTTTGTTGATGGCGGCGAAGTCGCACAGTGGGTTGACGGCGAGAAAACCAAACGTCCATCCAACGGAGGTTCGCAACATCCATGAACGCTCTCCTTGCGTTGCGAACGCATATGCTGACGTGATACCAACATAGCCAACGCCACCCTCTCGATTCCGCTGACACGTTCCTGGAAGCCGGCGGAGGTTAAGATCACGGAGATTGACAAGCCTGTCATGGGCATGGTGAAAGAGGCCATTTTCACGCACAACGCGTCAAACTCGTTCTACATCTGGGGCGGCCACGTTCCGTACGACGCCGCACCCGTTCCGACAAACCAGCTCTGGAGGTTCAGTTCTGATGGCGACGGAGGCGGCACCTGGAATCCCGAAACACCCGGCAACCCCTCGACGTATACGAGCCTCAGGCGCTCTCAGGGCGGCGCCTACGTGAGCACACCCGATGCCGCGTTCTGGTTCGGCGGTCTCGAGACCCCGGGCACCTCTGGCGGCCCCCGAGGCTACGTGCCGGGCTACCTCTCGTTCAACTTCACGACCAAGTCATGGGCCAACGAAACGAACAGTCCTTGGTCATCCTACGGAACCCTGTACGGCGGTGATGCACACTACGTCCCTACCTTTGGTCCTAACGGCATCGTTATCCTCATCGGCGGCGCGGCGTGGGATATGACGGGCTCTGGCTCGATGGGCTACCTTGATATGCAGAATCTCACCTTCTTCGACCCCGTCACGCGCGAGTGGCACTCCCAGACGACGTCGGGTGAAGCTCCCCTTCGCCGTGAATGGTTTTGCGTCGCCGGTGCCGAGTCAACAAACGGAACCTATGAAATGTGAGTCTACCTATATGAACCGTGACGGGTAACCGGTCGTGGCCGAAACTGACACGGGTATCACCACAGCGTGGTCCACGGCGGTAGAAACCAGGCCAACAAGGCCGCTTTTGACGACGTCTACATTCTCAGTCTTCCGGGATTCGTCTGGACGAAGGCCGAGTACGAAGCCAAGGGATCTCGCACCGCTCACGCATGCATTGTCGCCGGCAACCGCCAGATGATCAGCGTCGGGGGCGTTGACGACAACAAGGGAAGTCCTGCCATCTGGGAGGACATTGATCCGCGCCCACAGGGACTGGGCATCTTTGACATGACGCAACTCAAGTGGACAGACGCCTTCGACGCCGATGCTGGTGCGTATGAATCGCCGGCCGAGGTGCAGGCGTGGTATGATGAAGGGTGAGTGTGGGCTTGATCAGAAAATGATCCAAGGGTCTGAGCTGACGACAGAAATGCAGTGGTCTCCAAAAGGTTCCGTGGTCTTCGGACAACGTAAAGAAGCTCTTCACCGACAGCGCCTCTTCGGAGGAGTCGGAAGAGGGTACCTCTGGTGGAAATGAGAATGGAAACAGTGGCAATGCGAACGGCGAGTCTTCCAACAGCTCAACGCCGGTGGGGGCCATTGCGGGCGGCGTCGTGGGTGGTGTCGCCGGCATTGCGCTTGTGGCCTTCCTCGCATGGTTCCTCGTGCGCCGCCGACGGAGGAACGCCAACCAAGGGCCGGAGAGGGAGAAGGAGTCACATATGATGCTACCGGCCGAAATGCCGCCGTCCACGCACGGCGGGACTGCAACAATGACGACAAGCTCATCGTCCCCGTCAAACTGGGGCAGCACAAAAGCGGGATCCCCGGCCCAGGGAAATGTTGTGCCGGCTCATGTGGAGATGGGCGACACGTCGCCGAGGCCGGAGCTCATGGGATCAGGACCATACCCGTACCACGGGGCAGAACTGGATGGGGGCAGTTACCCGGCGAGGTAGAGAGCGATACGAGCAGGGAACAGAGTTTTTGAATAGGTTGCGTCTGGTATTTTGCATCTGTGCGAGCCTTCTAGAGCCAGCGATTCCTTGCATTGAAATGAGCGTTTGTCGTGGTTTGTCCGAGGTTATGAACCGGTTGCTGGTCGTTGTCGTCCCCAGACATGGACCCAAACAAGAGATTGTCCCAGAATTCTCCTGACAAAAGGGAGTCGCCTACAAGAGTCAAGCACTGAGTTCAGCCGATGTACATGTCTGGAAAACGTTAAGTTGGAAGGATGGGTGAGATTGATTGTCATTCACATCCCCAGAGGTCATGATCCTGACTTCCAAGCCGATATCGCATGAGACAAAGCCGTTATAGCTCAGTGGTTAGAGCATCGCACTCGTACCATCCCGACATGCGGGGGTCCACGGTTCAACTCCGTGTAGCGGCACTTCATTTTTGAATTTTTGCTTCGTGATTGATCTGGGTGGGCTCGGGGGTGGGTTTGGGAGGGGCTGTCGGTTGTGATGTGGGGGGAACGAGCAAGGGGATTTGATTGCCGTGATGCATCATGGCGGTTAGCGGGTTTCTTAGGCGACAAATACCTCGCTGCTGATGGAGGGAAGGCTGTGTACACGCCCCTGAGGGACCTGAAGGCCCTCGACCTGCTATTGTGTTGTGGGCGGTATGAGCGAGCGAGCTGTTTCACTCCCCGGGTGAAATGACAGACATACACAACTATGGCGATTCATTCCGTCGCGATCCAGACAAGAAAAAAGGCGCCATGTCTCGTCTCATCTCAGCCGGCGGCGTGAGGCTGAAGACGCCCTCGCCTGGCCCTTGGCTTGGTGCTCTCAGCCCTGATTGATTGTACCCAACGCCCACTGGAGGATGCCGCATCTAGTCCGGCAGTCGAGTATGCCTTGTCACGAGACGAATCTCAAGCCACTCGGAGGATCCTCACCGGCGTCACCAACTCCACGATCATTTCCCCAAAGGCGCTGAGTGTTGGCACATTGTCTGTGAGCACACATCCTTGGTATCTGCTTCGCCAACAGCTTGTATTCTGAGAGCAGACCTATTCAATTCTCGGCCATGTGGCATAATCCCCGCACACCACCAGCCCTCCCACCGCGGAGCCCAAAACGACCCGATCAGACCGGCCTCCCATCACCACCACTTCTCCCACCACGCCCAGTGTCCTACATGCCCTATCGCCCAGCCGGCCCTGAGCAGTGGGACACTTCGCCCTTGCAATGGACGCACGGCGACCAACGCCGGCAATCTGTCCCTGCCGATGCCCCTGTGAGCTGCAACAACGGCATAGGCACATCACAGACCTTGCGGAGGAAGCCGATCGGCGCCGAAGTCGTGCGCCCAGCACTGCCGCCAAGGCCGTACACTTCTTCACCACCAGTGAGGGAGGCCAGCGCGCCAAGACCGAGGCCGATGTCGTACGTGAGTCCTGAACCGACGACGTACCACAGTTATGTGCCGCCGTCCCCTTCACTGTCACCACCCGTTCCGCGCGAGAGGCCTCGCTCTGTGTCTTGTGTGAGTCCCGAGTCAATATTCGCAAGCCCAGTCAGCTTCGCACCGCCTTCGCCGCCAAATGACACGCTTGCAAGACCTGTATCGTGCACGCCATCGTCGCGGTGGTCAACGATGCCCTCACCGCCGGCGGAACCTCCCGCGACCCTGGCCCCGAGAGCGCCGTCGCCGCGCTGGTCCCTCGCCCCATCAGAGCTTGATGCCGGCGAACCCTCGCCCTCTCCCGCGCCCGCGCCTGATTCTCCTCTCGAGCGCGACGAGCTGGTAGACGACATTGATGAGCTTCTCTCCGAGCTCGGAATCTCCTCCACAGGCTGGAACGGCTCCGACCCCTCCCTCGACGGCCTTGATCACCGTCGCCCTTCCCTGAAAATCACGCACTACCCGGACGACTACGCCGAGCCTTCACCGCCCGTTGACGTCCTCCCGCTGAGCCCACCCGCCGTGCCTCCGAAGCTGCCCCTCGTCCCGATCATGGATGACGCGCCCGAGACGGACACGACGGCATGCCTCGCGGCGCCCATGACCTACGCCTTCCCCGCGACGTGGTACAGCCATCCGGACATGCCGGGCGTGTGGGTCTGCGCCGGTTGTTTCACGCGCCACCTGGCCGGCACCAAGTTCGATCCGCAGTTTGACGGGAGAGCTTATGATGATGGGAGACCGCGAGCGTGCTGGTTTGGGGGTGACAGGGTCGTCCACGAGCTGTTGCCGAGGGCCCTTGCCACGGGATTCTTGCAGCCGTTGATTGATCATTTGAATGAAGTGGTGACGTTGCGGGCTCCCTGAGATGGGGGAAGATGAGCAACCCAGTAATGGAATGGCATTCGGGGGCTTAGACGGCGTATTTGGTATAAATTATGATCTCGATTTCTGGCTTTCAGGTGGCGGGTATTTGTGAAGCAGCACGAGGGTCTACGGGGCTTATTTGGTGGCCAAGTGCACGAAGAGACCGTGAAGACGGGTCTTTGTGCGAGCTCTCACGCCCCGGTTTGGCAGGCTAAGGAAGGCTTCACCATCTTCGGCGCGGACTGCTTGATCTGAGACGGCTAGTGCGTGTAACTTCGCCAAGCTTTTGGAGTCGGTGATGACTACCTTCGCTGCAATAACAGTCATAGCTTCTACGTCTTGATGATTTACAGATAGGTATTATGATTAAGAAGTAAGAGAACTATAAAACTGCAATACTGTCATGGACAGACAACTCAGTAAGAGCAAGTGAAGTGACCTGGTTCGATGGGTGGCTCATTCCGCCAAAGCTAGATAGTTCGGAAAACATGACATAGAGTTGAGAACTTTCCCCCATAGACAAGATTTTATCAATTACCTTGAACTCCATGGTTCGCCGGTTTCATTATCCTTGATGGCTTCTTCGCGTTTTCAAAGTTTCTCAAGACAAGAGGTCCCGGAAGCTTTTCCCGCAATTGTTGCTTCTACAAACAATTGCAAAAGCTGCGTTGGATTCCAGGGCGTCTTCGTGCACTGACAGACAGTTCCTTGGGACGTAAATTGTGCCAGATCATCTGGTCAACAGAAGTAGTAAAGCTCAGCCATACGTAACAGTTGTCGTAGGTATATGGTCTGCTATGACAGTGCCTTTCAGGTGTGCTGTTCCAAAGTGAAGCGCTCAGAGATTTGTTCTGAAAGCTGAAACAGGGTCATCACTCAACTTCTCAAACACATTCATGTCACGAGAGGGGCTTTATATTCAAATGTGTGGCATAGTGTTGATCTCTACTTGGCGTCATAAATATCGTACATATTCAAGTGACACGCATGGAAATAGCCCTGATGGGTTAATAGCGCTCGCCAATCTCCTTAGAGAAGCTAATTAAAGACATACTTAATCAAAAATGTCTTATCGCTGAGGCCATTAAGCCCTCTATCTTAGCCTCTTAGCTTCCCACCGATGGAGCTGTTGACGAGCGCGAGGGCTACTTCGGGCTGATCAAATAGAATCATATGTCCATCCTCGTTAACTTCAGCGTAGGAAAGCGGCTCCAGTGCCTTAAACGTACCGGAATTTTCAGACCAGAGTACCAAGATCTCAGCTCATGGAACTGGAGGAGAGGTTTGCCCCTCCAGCTGAACCCCTCATTTACCAGTCGCCGCATGCCAACAGCGTGGCAGAAGCAGTCTTTGTCGCCTTCGTAGATGAGAGCTCGCACACTCTTATAAATAGTATTAGTAGCTAAAATGGTGGTTTACGGTCTAGGTGAAACACTGACTCTGCCCAATATGTCTTCCACGTACCCATGACTTGCCTTCCGAAGATCGTCTACCGATTGCCACTCCTGCACCACACAGAAAGAGGAGAAAACTCATAACACTTCTCACTCGAGAAACTCCCTGCTGCTCCATCGCAGGCTGCTTCGATTCCGGCTAAGTTCTGGACAGATTATCGGATCAGACCATGGACGATTATATTGCCCTTTAGGTTAATGGTAGTCGCCCGACTAGGAGTTGACGGATCGATAAGTGGCATCTATTCAGGAAAGTCGATGCTAGAGCTGAAATCTTTTACCGGTTCATCTCGCGCATGGAGAATGTCAACCGCCAGTATAGGATCCAAGGAACCGCCATATAACTCCCCAGCGATGTAGAACCTCGCGTAACGAACTCTGGGAAGCCGATAAAGATTTGACCCAAAAAGCGGTTCATTAGCTGCGACGACCTCGAGAGGCTCTTAACTTCGTTAGAACGAGAGGAATCATCACCTACTGGCTGACTAGTTAGTGATGTCAGTTGTGTTACCGGGTCTTCACTACGGGCCTGCATCTCGTAGACTTACTCAACGAAGAGCAGGTTGGGTTGTTCGTTCCAGCTAAACGGGTTGATCACTGTGCACTCCCCTTCTGCAGCAATCCGACATGTGCTTAGCTACATCACACCCCCGAATGCAACAGATAACGCTCCCAGGCCTCTATAGCATGTGTGAGCAAGCATCATTGTTCGCGCGGCAGTTCGTCGCCAGTCATTCAGAGAATGAGAGGATCCCTTGCAGGCTCATATTTGCTCTCGTGGAGCCAAAAGAATCTCGCGGTGGGGCGTCATCTGTGGTCAGAAAACCAGCCGTGCCTGGGATAGAGCTGTCACAGACGCTGGAGGCGTCGTTGGCAAATAGAAACTGAAGGCTAGTGATCCTTCTTGTGGGCCAAAGTCCAAAGTCCTCAGCGACAGGCTTAAATGACACTGCGACAATGACAACCGGACAGTTGATCGCACTCAGTATAGTGTGGGACTTCATCGCCTTGGTCGCCGGGTATTCATTGAAGAGGTAGCCCGTAATGACTACATTAGGAGCCATCGAATCCGACGATCTGGATGGGATGGTGATGGTCGACCAGGTATGGTGTAAATGGTCCACATATCCGGTTTAGGTTATTCGTGCCACGCGGCGCGTACCAGCCTCGGGTATGACGGCACTGTTGAATCTCAGTACCCTTGACAGTAGGGCGCCACTAGATTCCTTGTCATGAGCAGGTGGATGAATTTTCAGCGAACGTCCTCGCCATCAGATCAGATGAGTTGGTGAGCGTCATTCGGCAAAAAACTGCTCAACATAACATCTGCCGCAGAGTCGGAACATGCGGTCATATTCAGACCTCACAGTCTTCGCCCTGCAGGCGACGAGCCTCTTTGCACTTGGTCGATGCGCCCCAAGTCAAAAGCCTCTCGTTGCCAATCTACCGACCTTCAATCTACGCGAGCAGACTGATGTCCTTTGCGATGCCGGGTCGCGGCACTGGACTGGTTCAGTCCCAATCACAAGCGATAAGAACTTGTCCTTTTGTCAGTGCTTGTGAGCGACTCGTCGAAGGCGCCCTTGCTAATCCTCTAATTCAGGGTATTTCGAAAGCCGTAGCCATCCACAGACTGACCCAGTACTGTTGTGGATGAGCGGGTAGGTCGCCACGTTTCGTGGCCGAGTATTGTTTCCAGCTAATTATTTTAGGGGCCCTGGTGCAACAGGCGAATTCGGCGTCTTCAAAGATAGTGGACCTTGTCAAGTAAACCTAGACGGTAATTCTACATCAAAGCGGCCATTCTCCTGGACGGACAAGGCCAACGTGCTTTTCATCGAGTGAGTAGCATCCTGATGCAACAGAATTCGAACCTCTCCGCTGACCATGACCAGCCAGCCAGTGGGCGTGGGGTTCTCGGAAATCAGCGACCGAGATCTCATGGCAGTTACACTGGAACAGGGAGGTCGCGATCTCTACGCCTTTCTCTCGGTTTTTACATCCCGTGTCTTTCCTGACACAGCCGACAAGACTTGGCACATCGCCGGTGAGTCAATGGGAGGCCATTATGTTACTGGATACACTCAGTACATCATCCAGCAGCAGCGAGAACGAGCCATTCAAGGCAACGCTATTCCGCTCGATATCGCCACAGCAATTATTGTTGATGGGTACATCGATGACTCCAGAAGTGCGGCTGGCTTTTACGATTATCTCTGTCTCGACTGGCGTGGTGATGGCCATAAGCCCCTTCTCGACCCCGAAGAGTGCGAATCTATGGTCGCCGGTGTTCCGAGCTGTGAGAAGAAGGGAGCCCTCTGCCGCGAAACTTATGATGTCGAGATTTGCACTCTCGCCTCGTCGCACTGCAACGACACGGTGGCCAAGTTCTTTTGGAAAAACGTGAAGTCTGGAGGTTGGAATCCTTATGATGGTCAGTCTATTTCTAGTATCCAAGTGGTTTCCTCGTGGTGTGATAAGTAGTACTCGTATTGAAGCTGTCTCAGGCCGACTGACATGCGAAAACCCTCCACTCTGCTCCGACCTGCAGGGCGGGCCAACAAGGGAGTTTCTGAACAAACCTTGGGTTCTAGAAAGACTTGGATACCCTGGAAAGTCCTTCTCACTGATTGACATGGACGCCAACCAGAGGTGGGAAGAGGACGGCCATCTTTTCCTGCCGACTACGCGGGAACTGACTTGGCTTCTCGACGAAACAAATATTCGCGTTCTCTTCATCAATGGCAATGATGACATGATCATGTGAGTCAAAGCCTTCGCCGGCCGTGAGCTTTTCAAGGCCAACATCTGACGTATTATATCTTGTAGCAACTCGCCTGGGCAGATCAGGATGCTTGATGAACAGCCCTGGGCTCGCCAGGCTTGGTACAGACAACAGGCATTCGAGGATTGGCACTATGCCGACGGCGAAATAGCGCGGGAGGGACTCACTGATGAAAAGAAGAAGGGAGGAAAATGGAAGGGCGATAATCGTCTCAGCCTGTTTCTGGTGGACGAAGCTGGTCACATGGCCCCCTGGGATCAGCCCGAAGCAGTCGGCGCAGTTGTCAGGGCATGGATACGGTCCTGAACTATCATAATTTGCCTCTTGCGAGCGTGTTATAGGCGTGTGAACAGGAGTTTAAGGCCAGGCACCCTCCGCATTATCATCTTGCATGAGTATGTCTGATGAGACTCAACCAGATGTGCCGCTGATTGCTAAGATGTTAGCGGATCATATCCTAGCACTTTCCGAGGGAGTCGCGGGCAGCGAACGCAACTCTGGCTCCTTGAAACCGCACATTACTGTCCAAGCAGCATCATTAATATCACTGTTGACGCGAGATATGTACCCAACGGCACTGTCATTCGGACCGCGATTCCCAAGTCTTCCGGTACGTCTCTGCCAGGCGGATATTCCAAATCCTTTGCGGGAGCTCTCGTGGAGCGCATGGTCGGCGCAAGAGTAGTATAGATCGTTTACCCGCTGCCGGTCAGGAGTGCGGTCGACCCGTCGCTTACATCGTTAGCCATACCGACATGCACATTCTCATCGTCCTACCCCTCAATCATTGTAGATTCACTGACTCGCTCTTTTTCCATGCCATGTTTCCTCTACCTTACAGAAAACTTGGAACCAAAGTCTACCCCAAAAACGGAACCAGGCCCTCCGTCCCTGATAATCTCACCTACCCGGCAGTGAATACCGACGATCTCTTGTCTGTTCCGCCAATCGCCACCTCCACACCCCGCGCCCCCCCGGACGACCACTACGACAACTGCGGCATCTCTTGGCCGGGACTACCCCACGAGCGGCTCGGTAGTTGTCGATCTGGGCAGGGGTTGGCTCAGTCTGGGGTACAGCGGACTCGTGTCAGGCGACGGGATGGGATGTGATCGTCATGCTCTTGACGCGTGGGAATAGACGCGTAGCGGTGATTTGTGCGGAAATATCGTGGATGGGCGGGGCCTGATGCGAGGCAGGGAATCAGATGATATCCTTCCTCGGTGTTGCGGATTGAGTGCGGCATGGACACCGGCTCCCATTGCGCGATGACGACGTCTACGACGCCTGGGCATGGAGTGAACACGCCTTACCGTCGAATCCATGGAACATATAAGAAGACCAGATTGTCCACCAGAAAGACTCACTCTCTACTACCAAGAGAACCAGGCACTCCAGACTCCAGTCAGATACCCAGTCCAGCGTTGTTCTCACCCCTGTTCACTTTGCCTCGGCTTCGTTCTAAGATCACCCGCAAACAGCCACCATGAAGGTCGCAGCCCTCCTCGCCCTGCCCCTCGCCGTGCTGGCCTCACCCCTGAGCGCCCGCCAATCCTCGACCTTCTGCGACGACTGGGGCAGCGCCGTCGCGGGCCCGTACACGGTCTACAACAACCTCTGGGGCAAGGGCTCCGCGACGTCCGGACAGCAGTGCACGACGCTCTCGGGCCTGTCGGGCAACGCCGTGTCGTGGTCGACGTCGTGGAGCTGGGCCGGCGGCCAGAACAACGTCAAGTCGTACCCCAACGCCCTGCTCGCCATCACCAAGCGGCCGCTGAGCCAGGTGTCGTCCATCCCCTCGTCGTGGTCCTGGTCCTACACGGGCTCCAGCCTCGTCGCCAACGTCGCCTACGACCTCTTCACCGGCAACACGGCCGACAGCGCGCCGGCCTACGAGATCATGATCTGGCTCGGCTCCCTCGGCGGTGCCGGCCCCATCAGCGCCACCGGCAGCACCATTGCCAACCCCACCATTGCCGGCACGACCTGGAAGCTGTACCAGGGCAGCCACAGCCAGATGAACGTCTTCAGCTTTGTCGCGCCCTCGAACATCCGCAGCTTCAACGCTGACCTGTACGCCTTTGTCAACTACCTCGCGGCCAACCACGGGCTGCCGAAGAGTCAGATCCTGCAGAGTGTCGGTGCCGGCACGGAGCCGTTCACTGGGTCCAACGCCGTCTTCACGACCAGCTCGTACCAGGTCTCTGTTTCTTGAAAGGTCTTAGCTCGGAAAGACAGGGTGGGAATGGACGTGATGATATCCCGTGCTGTGGACACAATACTTGGAAGACGGACTGTTGGATAGTATGAATTTATGATCGTACAAAATGATATGATGTGCTTTCGTCCGACCGCTTACAAACCCAGTGAAGGCCTGATTCGTACTTCTTTTTGCCCCTCAAAATGACCATGCTCACGGTTATGCACACCTAATCAGACCCATCCACTCGGAATAACGCCAATGACATGGCATCTGACAAAACGCCCTTACCAGGCCTCTTGCTCACACTCAGCAGCCTTCCCAGGTTTACATCGCCTCCTGCCGATGGCGACCGCGGTCTCAGGGGCAGCGGATACTCGACAGCAGCCCCTGGTACCATGAGATTCGTCTCCGCGGGCCCCGGCGAGACGGCGCGAGAATTGCTGCGGCTCCTACCCACGGCATTGCTCCGCCTTAACTGTGACTCGGTGCGCTGCGGCGCCGTCCCTTGGGGTTCGGGAGCGAGGAATTGCGGCGACGGCGACGGGGCGCGAGGCACCTTTGATGCAGGATTGCGCGGCGCCTCGAATCGCGAGGCTGACGGCGACTTGAGGGCTGAGTTGTCCCGCGACGAGACGCGCTTGTGTCCTGTCTCTCTGCCCTTCTCGGCGCTCAGCAGACCCCAGAGCTGCTGCAGCCACTTTTGCTTCTCCTCGGGCTTCATGGACCGGATGGGCAGGACCTCGGCGCCACCCATCTCGCGCGTGGGCCAGGGGAAGCTGACGGCCATCTCGCGCAGCGTCACCGAGTTGAGCTGCCGCAGCACGATGCGCAGCTGCGGCTCGACGTTGGCCACTGGCGGGAACGCCCAGTCGGGCCTCTGCTCCAGGCGATCGGCAATCTGGGTCATGGCGCCGATGAGCCACTCGATGGCCACTTCGTCGGGTACGGTGTGGGCCTTGCTCAGCAGCCAGCCGAGCATCTCAGGGGAGCCGGACTGATTGAGGATGGGAATGCTACGCTTGTCGTGCTCGCGACCTTGGAGCTTCATGATGAAATCATTGTACTCCTTCATGGCGTCAAGGGGCAGACCGATGAAGCGGCCGCTGTTGAGAGCGTGAACAATCTCGTCACCGAGGGCGATTCCGGACTTGATGCCGCTATTGAGGCCACGGCCAGGCCAGAAGTGGACGGTCATGGCGGCATCCCCTGCAACAGCCACGAGGGCATGGGGTCGGTTGATGAGCATCGAGTCCGCAGGAGGCAGAAGCTGGACGCCCTCTCTGACGGCCTGCACGACAATGGGGATGCGGACAACATTGATGACCTCGCTTTCTTTGAAGCCAAACAATTTGAGGCCATCCTCGATTGACTTCCAAAGCGGACTCTCCCGGTCTTCAGAAGGTGCAAAGACCTGACTTTCTTTGAAGCCTTGGGGCACCGAACCGTCTGGCCGTCTCAAGCAGCCGGGGTTACCGAAGGTGACAAATTTGCCGTCAACTGAGACCATCTTGTCCCACTCCTCCTCAGTCAGCTGCATGTTGAGGTAGCCACGGCCGTCAAAGTCACTGGCATTCAACAGGTAGCGGGTCTGGCCAAGGGTCAGAAAGACATTGAGGGGTTGGGACCAGGGCAGGCCGGCCGGGCGGTCAAACGCGAGACCCAGCGCATAGCTGCGGCCGCGCTCGTTCTCGTAGCCGTGGAAGTAGTCCTTGCGGACCCACGACGCAGCTCCGTCTGCGCCCAGCAGGACATGAAAGTCGCCGATCCTGGGCAGATCCTCGCGCGAGAGCCCCTCGGGATGCAGATGGATGAGGCCTTCAAACTCGGGCGCATGACACCGCTGCAGCAGGCGGTCCTCGACCTTGCGGATCTGAATGTTGGCGGAGCCGGGCCAGACGGGCTCAGGACGACCTTGAAAGAGGGCATGCTGCGATGCCTTGCTCATGAGCGTCGTGACAGACTCCTGCAGCGTGACGACCTGGTCGCGACGCTTGGCGGTGGGGGGATAATCGACGTAAGAGCGGCCATCGGGGGCGGTACATGGCACCCAGCGGCGCTCGTACATGTGCACCTCGACGTTGCCGGCGCCCTTTTCGGCGAGGGAGATGGCAGAAGCAAGAGCTGTGGGTCCGCCGCCGACGATGGCGACCTTGAGTCGCGCAGAGGGGTATCGGTAGACGACGGGAGTCGCAGGTGCGGGCTCGAGGTTGCGGGCGAGGGACGGGTCGAAGAAGAAGTCCATGATGGTCTTGGTCTTTTCGGAGAAGACCATGCTGGGGACACGGGCCTTGATGAGCATGAAGCGAACACACTGCATCAATGGTGTCGTCGCAAAACTGGCATGGCTGTTGCCAAAGAGGCGCATCTGGATGGCGCTCGCAACGGCAGGTATCGTCGCGTTGTTGTGGTCCATGACAATGGCCTGAACTTCAGCGTTGATCCTCGTGTCAGGGGACATTTTCACGAAGCGCAAGAGAAAGATGCGCGCGCGCTCGAGATCGGAGCGCCTGTCGGTCGAGCTGTCAGAGCCCCAGGCGTCTTCGAAGACTTTGGGGAAGAGGATGTCATCGTGAGAGAGCGAGTCCGGCGCGGCGCTGCCACCACGCCGCGGGACAGTACTGGCAGTGTTGAGGGATGTCCTCATGGTGACACAGCGGGCTCTGCGGCGATGTTCAATATGATGAATCCGGTGATTGGGGTGTAGCTGGGGATGGATCAAGCTGTCGTGGGTTGTCTGAAGTGCTGCAGGTGCAGTGGCAGGCAGAGCTGAAAGAAGCTCGCAAGAGTGAGATGGTCGGATGTCAAAGAGCTCTCCATTGTGGCGGGAACCTGTAAGCTTTTAGCGTCCAGCGGCTGGATCTGGGTCTGGATCTGGATGACTGTTGGTGGATGGAGGGCGAGTGGCCAGGAGGGGTCATCTTGGGAGAAAGGAGCCAAGGAGGCGTACCAGGCTTGGTGTTGTGGTGTGCAGCCTCACGAGGGACTAAGATTAGAATCGACGTCCAGATAAGAAGCCCAGGTGCCATGGCACTTTAGGGGCCATGGCACTTTAGGGCGTTCCCTTTGTTAGGGGCCTCTTTGGGGGGTCTCCAGGGCGTTGGGGGCCAATCGAGGTACGAAAGGCGAGGAACGATTGGCTGCTGCCGTCCCACCTTGCATCTGCAGGGGGGCAGAGACGCTGCAGGCGGATGAGATTTTAGCGTCTATTTAAGGCTTGACACCTGTACGTGGGAGATGGGAGAGGCTGTGCTTCCCCGGAACTTGCGCTGCCGGCTGTTGTGCGCTTCAGATCTCAAGGACCTCCTGGCCTTGGATGCATGTTCATTCGGTGGGATACCTTGATCCTCTCGCAAGACACCGGCGACGAAACATCCAGATCCTGCCATAGCAGCAATGAAGGAACGAAAGGTCACATCGTCAAAGACCTATATCTAGGGTCTGCCACTTCCTGCGTACTGAAGCGTATCCAGTTCTCTTCGCTTCACCTCACCATCTGACAGGTTGTGGTCACACCATCGGACAGCCTGTGTCAGACGCCGTTGACGAAGCTGATTCTGGGTTCATCCAACTGTGCCGAAATGAGGCAAGCAGCCAAGCGCCGGCAAGCGCCCCAAACCTTGGGACGCCCCAACAGCGACACGTTGCACAGGCGCAGGCGAGAGCGGGCTCTGGCGCTCGCTATGGCCAGCGGCCTGTAGCCCGACCCAGCCATGTTCGGGATGCTTGCCGTGCTTCCCCAGCCCGGACCGTACTTGAGATGGCTTGCCAGGTGGCTTTTGCGACCGTGCGATCTGGGCCACGCTTTCTGAACAAGGGACTTTGACTAACCATGCTCAGCGCGCGACTCATCGCCCTGAATGATGACATGGTATGTGTGCCAGGTATCTCCGATGTACATCTGCCTGGGCCCATGACCCGGGAGCCTGGCAACTTGAGAATGACTTCTGGGCCAGAGGAACCCAAAAGCCAAAGCATGGCTGATCACTGGCAGGTGCTATGGCATGGAACACACGGCCAGGGGTGCCGAACAGGAGGTCTGGTTTTTCCTTCACACTCAGCCTGCAACCGTGACCGTTGCGACAGAGTTGCCGTGGCAAAGCGAAACGGCACCGGAAAAACTGCTCGACATGATCTCTTCTGCTCGTAGCAGAAACCCCACGGAGAGAACCCGGCAGCATGGCCTGCACATTCGCATAGCACAGCAATTTTCGGGACAATGAACTGAGTGGACTCTCACCTCACACGCTACATCCACCAATCCACTTTACGACTCATGATATATCCTCATCCAGCACATCACGCCGAGAGCGAGAGCGAGATCAAACCGAAAAATAGCTGGCATGCCAGTCATGATACTCGATTCCCAGCCCAAATAAAAAAAGACCCCTTTTTTTGAGAGGAAAAAGAAAAGGAGTAAACAGCTACCAAGGCCGCTTCATCAAGTCATGAAACATTTCCGTCAACTGCCCCTCCTTCATCTCCGAATCGGGGGCCCCCGCCTCTTTTCTCTCTTTAGACGGTCCACAGTTGACCCTTGGCCTGGGCCTCTGCAACGAGCTTATCGTAGATGGCGACCTTCTCGTCGTAGATGGCGACGAGCTCCGAGTGCTCGTCCCTCTTGCCGGGGGTGGCGTCGTCACCGCCGAACGCGCGGACGGCAGCGTAGTAGACGTCCGCCAGGGCGTTGCACACGCCGCGGACGCTCGAAGACTGGCACTGGAACTTCAGACTGGAGGGGGGTGGAAAATGCCGTGTTAGCAGCGAGTCACGCGCGGTGGAAAGTACAGGTGGACTCACTCGGTCCTGAACTGGTTGTCGATGCGGAGCTTGTTGCTCTCGGTGAAGCGGGTCTGGGCGCGGAAGTTGTGGTAGCCAAAGTCGTGGCGGTGGCAGGCGGGCACAAAGGGGAATCCGAATGGGTTGTCAGGAGACGATGTGCAGCCGTCCGAGCTCCAGTCGAGGTTGGCGGGGTTGCGGTTGTTGCGGCGTGTGGTGAACTGAGGCAGCGTCAGGGAGAAGGACAGGCTGTCGGTGACGGCTGTGATGCTCTGGCGCGCGGCGAGCTTGGGGGTCTGCGCCTCGTCGGCGGTGGGCAGAGCCAGGGCGGCGGGCACGAGGGCCAGGAGAAGTGCGTTGAACTTCATGGTGAGAGAAGAATCCCAAAGACTGGACGGGGAGAAGGAGGAGGAGGAGGAGCAGGGGCTGGGACTTCAAACTGCTAAATGCAACTGAAGCTGAGGAACCAGAAATCACAGTCATGACGAGCAGGATCTCCTCTCATTTTTATACTTCTCTGCACTGCACGGCATGGCGGACATGGCCATCGATTCAGATGACGATGCTCCGCCAAGCAAGCTACTCACGATCGTCCCGTGGCCATAGAAGTGGCCCGAAAGGGCAATGATCAATCCGCATCGCCTTCAGCCGGCCAGCCACGATGTTGTTAAGCTAGGCGTAATTGGCTCGAGACCTCGAATTGCAACCCCCCCTTACAACGTCGACCGCGCGCTTCTGACCCGCCCAGAAACCTGGCCAAGAAGAGATGAACGTTGTTTCTAGGCGCCATAAGGAAGGTGTGTCCTCGCCAACCAAGTCCACTCGTAGCCCAAAGGCTCGCCGCCGAGATGCGGGGAAGCCAAAACTACCGGGCGGAGGCGTGTCGGCATTGGGCAGTGAGCTCCGTGGATGGCCCCTGGGGGCGGATACCAGCTAGACCTCGTATTGGCATGATCACCGAGCACAACCAAGGTTGGCGGGGTTCAGCTGGGCGCGTGGAACCAAAGCAAGCTCAACGTTCGCATCGTGCGGGAAGGCTGGGACCGTTGAGCGGTGACCTCCGCGTGATGTGCCATTGAAATTGCCGGAAGTGGGCATTCTACGCGTGGCTGAATTGAGAAGTCCTGTCCGTCGGCACACCGGACTTGTCAAAAGTTGATGTAAGCGGCTTGGGCCGCCGCTGCGACCTGTATGCGATGTGATGATGTGTGATGATGTGTGGTGGTTCCCCGTGTCTGTATGTGCCTGGGAGGTGTGGGTAGCATCGCGAGCTTCAACTTTAAAGTGTCTAGTCAAGTGGCATGTGAAAGTCAAAAGAGCACGTGTGCAACATCATGTCATCTTTTGGCTTGTTTAGACACTTCGCATGCATCAATGGATCCTCCCTGATGCACGTTGCGCTGGAGTTGCGCTGGGTATATTCCCTCAATGCTTGTCGTCGAGTTGCTTGAATATGCTTCCAATGAGACGCGAGCGATGACGAAACGTGCCCGAGGGCTTCGACCCAAATCCATCTTGAACACCACTGTCCCCGGGCCCTGGAACAGCGGGGCCGATCCCCGACAGCAAGCATAGGGTGCTAGGATATCTCCCGGATGTAGGGAGAGTCGCCTGTTGAAGAATCAACAGAAACTGACTTTGGAGTAGACAAAGAACACGATAGTTCATTGAGCCAGGTATACGACTCACGTAGAGCATTTCACATGCAAGTCGAAAGATTGTGTGGAAAGTGCCGCGCTTCAACCTTCTCAGCCAGACTTTTGTCTCTCCAATCACCAATCTCCCGAAAACTCCAGTGGCTGTCCCGCCTGCAAGGTCACGATCATGCTTCCCCGCCTTAGAGCCACTACTCTTGGACACGACTCCTGACCAGCCCTCGTGGCTCCGGAGAGCCCTTTCCTCATCCATCGTAGACGCAGCCTTGACCGTTTCCAAATTTGCTCTTCCCCGCGATATGTTGACCTCCAGGCACCTCCGCGTCTCCGACCCCAGAATGATCCCTGGCTTGCTCACTTCAGCTGGCACCATGCTGCCATCTCAATTACGTTGCCATCATAGCCCAGTGACAGCAACTCCGTGACGACTGCCGGGATCCAGATCTGCTTTGGGTTTGGATGGGATGAGGGCCAGACGGTTCACTGGCTTGTTGGATACCGACTCTTGTGGTAGATGCTTGCCGCGTTCGGGCCATTCCCCATACAACTGCACCAGCTTCGCAGTTGTTCCAGCGACGACAACGCCCGCGTCTTGAACTTGGGTCTTGCCGAAAGGTCAAGTCAATCTTATTGTGCGTCTGGGGTCTCGGACGAACGTCCCGATAGAGAGCATTAGCATTCGGGATTGGCTTATTCGTGCTTGACAATGCCTCACGAAATGTCGGGGCTGGGCCCTCAGAAGGTCTCCGAAAATCTGATTTCCCTACCACGAGAGAGTGGTACTGTTTTTTACATTGGCCTGTATCAGCTGTTTAAATCTTCAATCTTCCGCCCCATGGGGTCGAGATCACAGAATAGCTGGCGGTGGTCCCCACATACCCACCCTTCATGTAGCCGTCATTCTGAGCCCCGGTCTCGTTGGCAGGGGCCCGCTCACACAGACTTCCGAATAGTCTCAAACTGCCACTGTCGAATGTGAACAGCTGCCCAGGATACAAGTACACGAACGCAGGGTTCTCTGCGGCAGGTGCTACTCTTCTTTGAAAGGGCCGGTAATGACATGATGGCCCGAAGCCTCATGGGTCTGCTTTTGTCGCCCAAGAGATATCTCACAGGAGCAAGCAAGGAGTCTTGGCGCCGCATCCGATGTGCAAGGTAGCTCATATCTTGTCGAGCATATTGGTTCGAATACTCATGGAAATTGACAGCCCAAAATTCCCGCCGTGCTTCAGATCTAATCTCTTGAAGCGGCTGCGGCAAGACGTTGAATCATTGACTTGACTCCAAGTTAGCGGGGGCGTTTGTTCGGTCGATTAACACTGTTCCCAAGATACTACAGTGGTATGTGCTGTCGAAACCAGAAGCAGGGTCCGCAGTTGTGGTTGTTCCCCTGCGAGAACCGGACCGAGTCCCGAGCCTTCATGGAGGGTATCACGCGAGCGATACTACGCAGCCCATCAATGTACAAGATTGACGTGTCACACGTTTTCCTATAGGAGACTACTAGCAACATGTCTTTACAATCCAGCTTCCGTCATATCCTTTCAACCTACTTGAAAGCCTCCGGTCACAACAGCCACGGAGACGAGATTTGATCGCAGTCCCCTTTTTTTAGCCTTTCTATAATTGAAAGGAAGGTTTACATGAGATGATGAATGTTTATTCTTCAAGGCTGGGCGAGTCGAGGGAAGGGTGTTCATGCCACGCGAGTTACTCATCGAGTTCAAGGGGTACAGAGATGTGTTCTCCGGGAAGTATCTTCGTAGCTGCCGATCTGTCCCCTGCACGCTTCTCGTGACACTGGATGGTCGCACCACAAGAGCACTCTGGGAAAACAAAGATTCTCTAATCGTATCGTCTATTTCTAATTGCCAAATGATTATGCTGATGCCTTGAGGAACTCAGGGCTGAAGGGGTAGTCGTTGTACCCTTCCTCTGTCTTGTTCAAGTAAAACGTGTTCCTGTTGTACTCGTTCAGTTGTATCCCGTTTTCGACCCTGTACACCAGGTCCGGGTTGGCAAGGAAGTGACGGCCGAAAGCGACGAGCACATTCCACTTCTGATAGTGGCCGTCAACAGCCTGCTGAGCCGACTCAGGGGTATAACCCCCGGCAACAATCACAGGGGATCGGTTGTCCCACTCCTCGAGGATGAAGTCTAGTGTCTTGGTCTCGTCTTCTGGGTTGTTGAGCATCAAAGTAGCCGGATCGCCGCGGGCCTCGACGAGGGAAATGTACGCGAGCGCCCCGTCGAGCGCCTTCAGCTGTTTGACGATGTGCAGGTTGAGTTCCTTGGTATCAGACTTGGTGGCGCCCTGGAAGCTGGCGTATGGCGACAAGCGGAGACCGACACGCTGGGTGCCGATTGCTTCCGAGACGGCCTTGACAACTTCGACAACAAGGCGAGCGCGGTGTTCGACAGAGCCTCCCCACTTGTCAGTCCGCTTGTTGACGACGTCTGACAGGAACTGGTCGATCAAATAGCCGTGGGCGCCGTGAACTTCCACACCGTCGCCACCGGCAGCAATAACGCGCCTGGCGCTCGCGACATAGTCCTGGATGACCTTCTGGATGTCCCCCTCGCTCATCTCCTCGGGGGCCTGTTCCCGACCGTCCATGGGAACAGCACTGCTGGAACGATAGTGGCCGCCGCGTTCGGCGACGTAAGACGGATCAGCGGCGCGGCCTTGATCCCAGAGCTGCTGGAACCAGAAGGATCCCTTGGCGTGCACGCCCTCGATGATGCTCTTCCAGGCGGCGACTTGTGCATCCGTGACGAAGCTGGGGAGGAAGCGCTGGCCTTCTTGGCCTTGAGCGATGCCGGTAGCTTCCGAGATAACCAGAGTTCCGGGAACAGAGGCGCGGTCCGCGTAGTAGCGCTGCATGAAAGGCAGGGCAGCGTGGTCATCGCCGTTGCGGTATCTAGTCAAGGGGGCGAGGACGATCCTGTGCTTCAAATCTATGGTGCCGAGCCTGACAGGCTCGAAAAGACGGGATCTTGGAGTACTCATTTTATATGTCGGGGTGTGAAATCGATGGCTTTCTAATTGGCAGAAAATGTAAAAGAAATGCTCTTATGAACTGGTCTACAAAAAACGGCGACGGCCGTTGAAGGCTTTAAGCTTCGCGAGGGTGATAATCACGCAGTCTCTCTAGCATCTTTGCTCGATTGCGTAATTGATCTAGATTTATAAGATACCTCGGTTGAACTACTAACTGCTTTGTCATCCCTCTCAATCTCCTCCCCACAACACGTGGCGTGCTGTGCATCTCGCAACTTTACGGAGCTAATACCTTACTCAGGTCCAGATCCGCAAGCGGATAGCCTGAAAGCGGTCGCAGAGGGGCATCTAGCGTGCTGGAAAGCACATGTTGAGCATCATGCTATTAATCATAGTACTCTTAGGTGACTTGCAGTAATGAAGGATTTATTTCGGAATATGAATTCTGGTGTCTGCGATATTGAGTTCAGGCAATGTCCATATGATCGCGTGTTTTCTTTTGTTAGAATCTGCAGTCTGTGAGGTAAGTTCGAGCTGCAGAGAGTATGGGGGCTCTCAATGGAATTGTTGAGCTTGGCAGAGTTGCCGACTTGCCCCCTTGATACCTATCTATGTTGACGTCCCCCAAGTCTTGTACGATGTATGACATCTTGAATCGTGATCAGAGGTCTGGGGGAGTCGTTGGTACCAGGCGGTAGCGAACACATGTCTCCGTAGACTGAAAGCTTTCCATCAGAGCACGTTGATATAAGCTTCAGCGAGCCAGCCGCTAAGCTTAACCATGCGGAAAACTGGGTACTCGTCGAGATCTCGAACTTGGGGGACGGGATTCTTTCCTCTACCACATAAGGTATTCTGAAGTGGCAGAGCTTTACCCCTCCCCCGGATTTCGTTGCGGGGCCGAGAGATGTGGGGGGCGGACACAACTTACCTCCCTTCTAATCAGGGATGTGGTTGAGCTTCGGTGCGTTCTGCTTGATTCACAGTATCCATTGTCGAGCAATGCTTTCTACCAAGGAACAACATGATGTCGTAGTCGATGAGATTGCCTGGGCTTCTGGCTATGCTGTGATGCTGCGAGTACAATAAGATGATTTCGGGGGTGTTATCGGCCATTTTAAGATCTCGCGGATGCCACCTCCGTGGTCACGTCAGAGGCTGGTCAAGATACAGACTTCCAGGAATAGAGCTGGCAAAGTCGATAGGCTTGTTCTAAAGATGGTCAAAGGTGAAGATACTTCGCACCGAGATACCGCGCCAGATTACACCCCGGTTCAGTTTCAGCTCCCAATGACGGATTGGATGCTGAGGCATGAAGAAAATCCCGTCATTTACGTGATGCCATTTTTTTCTTCTTCTTTCACAGGCTCGGAATTGTCCTCTGGTCTTTTCCGGGAGTGCCGCGAAGCTGTGACATAGGTTCCAGGCAAGGCGTTGCACAAAGGGTGGTTGGCGTTGACAGGGCAGGTTCCAGGGCGTGCCAGTTGTTCCGTCGCAGCTTCCTCCTGCCCTCACTCCACTTCGCGCGCGCGACAACACAGGCCAGCAAATGGTGGTCCCCGCTCAACTCCTGCCTGCGACCGTGTCTTGGGTGTCCACGAATCCCTCGTCTGGATGATCTGGATGCATCATAAACATGAACCATCAAAGACAAGCGACAACTCGAGCATCAACAATCTATTCCCGGTTGTCGTTTCGACCAAGTTCAACCAGAGAGTCACGAGAGACCTCATCTGACTATCCTACACATTGGGCCGTCGAGGACTGCGACTCGCGCCGTGGACGAGACAGCACACACGCTCGCCAGCTCGATGGCCATATATGCTTCCAGAAGCAATGGCTGTCGCAATATGCGGCCCCGCCAACAGGCCTGGTCGGAGCGATGAAAAGCTCTTGAAGACCCAAATGACGACCGCTTCCGAGACGCCAAGGGTATATTGATAGTACGGCGAGGCGATCAAGTAGCGAAACCCCTGGCTCCCCTGATCGCGCATAACGTAACCCTGGCCACAAAAAAAGAGCTGGGTCGCAACCCAGAAATAACGTCGCGCAATGTCGCCGCGGCACCTGGCCTGGAAGCAGGTGGGGCAACGCTGCTTCTGTCTGCATCAGCTTGAGCACCTCCCGCACCAGTCACCACCACACCCAGGGTTGACAGCCAAGGAGAGAGGTAGGGTCGCAACACCAACAAACCAGCAAAAGCCATCGCCCTTCGATGCCCGTCTGCCCCGCCGGGCTATTCAGGTCCTATCGACAAGCGGCGATATATCCCTGGCAATGCCAAGGTCGATGAACCATGCACTCCATCACCCGAGCCGCAATCTTTCTTTTCCGACGATCGGGACACTCAGAACGCCACCCATGGTATTCCCCGACTGCTTCGCATTGAATGCCCAAGCTACCAGTCGATGTTGGGACCAACGGAAGCATCTGTCGTTCTGTGGAAGACCCTTCGCCTGTCACGCCGCGACTGTAGCGCTTGACGCTTGACGCTTGACGCGTCGACATGTCTGCGTCGGTATTCCGTGGCGGTTGATGCATCTGGACGACAAAACAAAACGGGCTCATGTCACAACACGGAATGGTTAGACAGGCGATGAAGCTAGCGCCTCCGCAGCTCAGGGCTGGTCCACTACACCACCCAGTTCCAGCATGCTGGACTCAAGAAGCCACCAAATCCAGAAAGGACAGGGAGCGAGGAAGATCATGACGGCCAGACTTCACTGTCCTGGGACCCCGGCGGAAATCCATTTTCCATGTCCAATGGCAATCCGAGCGCAAGTGCGATCTCACTGTGATTCGCCAGGGACCACGCGTTTCAAGAAGTGCCATTCCCGGGGCGTCAGTGCAGCACCATACACCCTTGGCGCATGCATCTTTCTGGCGCCGCACCAAGGTCCGAGCTGGTCGGAGAGGGGCAGGACCACGGGCGCTTCTTTGGTGGGCTCTGCTATCTCCCAGAGGGCCCTTGATCAAATGGGTCTCTGAAACAACGTCTCGTCAAGGACCCCTCGGGACGGGGTTTTGTCCCCGCCAGAGCCCAATTTTGGAAGTTCAGTCACAACTGGAACAGTGGGCCATGGTCGCTGTCTCATCCAGGCTGTACTGCCCGTGGCAACTGATGTTGCGGAAGAGAACATGGAGGTCACAGCCCATACTCATACATAGGCACCGCTCAGCGCCGGCCTCTTTTCGTCCGCCTCTCCTTACGTTTTTGATCTCCCTATTCTTTTCCATTTGTGCTTCTACCACGTTGCTTGGTAGAATTTCCTTTCTTGTTGGCGCCTGTTTTCTGGTCTTTCGATTCTTGGTGGTGCCCTAGACTCACACTCACCTTGAGCCAACAGCTGAGCTGCTGACTTGATTCATCTATACCGCTGGTTGATTTATCTCCTTGCATTTTCTATCCTTGCACTCGGTCACAGAGGGAGTGCCGGACCTGCAAGAGGTGTCGTGCCTGGGACGCAAGAGGATTCAACTGCAAGACAACGCAGCGATCGTTTCTCGCCTACAACTCTTATCCAACATGGACGGAGCAACGAACAACGTCCTCCGGTTCGTCTCTCCATGAGCACAGACGGAACTGTCTTGGACTTTATGACTAACACAACAGACACAGCCAGAGGAGGAGTAGAAGGAACACTCCTAAATTTGTTGGACGACCTCGACACAACCTGGCACGCCGTCAGGTACCGCCTCCTCAACCAGTTCCCACGGCACCTGGCTCCGAATCAAACAGCGACGTTACCGTACCCAGCGTCCCCGGCGCTCCCGACTCAGACTCGGACTCTGGAAACGAGGCTGCTCAGCCGCTGCCTCCTGGAATCGTGCCCCCTCCCGGCGCTGTGCCCCCCGGTGTTGCCCCTCCTCCTGTTGCTCAGGTGGACAGTTCCGACGATGGTGCCGATTCGGGAAACGAACAACTTCAGCCAGCACCTTTGCCGCCCCCAGGATTCCCAACAAACGGCGCCGCTCCACAACTCGGACGGCAACCTGTTGGTCAGATCCCTGGCGCACTACCTTTCACTACCACGCTCCCGGGCAACCCAGTGCAAACGGGCAACCTGCCGCCTCCTCAACAGCCGGCTCCTGCCAACCCCGATGCCGGCCGACGCCCGCCCTCTAACGCTGAGAGGCCGCTACCTGGAAGCATGAACACGATTCCTCCGGTCGGCGCCGTTCCGACCACGGTCCCGCAGGCTCCAGCTCCCGTCCAGCCTCCCGTCCCAGTTCAACCTCCTCCCCAAGCGCAACCTCCGGCCCCTGTCCAACCTGTTCAACCCGTCCAACCTCCTCCTCAGGTTCAGCAACCTCCCCAACAGCCGCAGCCAGTCCTGCCCTTGCCGACAGCTAGTGCCTCACTGCCCATTCCGTCACAACCAAGCGCCGCACTGCCCTCAGCCGTCCAGCCTCCCCTTGCTGGAATTCCTGGACTTACTTCGATCGCGCGCGAGGAGGTTGCCCCTACGCCTACCGGCTCTACTGTTGCCGCGCCCGTAATTGCCCCTGCCAACACAGGAGGCGACTCGGATCGTGGCATTGCTGTGGGTATCACCTTTGGAACCCTAGCCCTCATTGGCATCCTCGTTGCTATTGGAATCTTCATTTTCAAGAAGAACAGCTCCAAGAAGGCCGATGTTGAAGCTGCCGCTCCTCCACCCGCCCCTGTCGCCGCACCGGCTCCTCTCGCCATACCCCAGACCGCCCGAGTGCCTCGTGCCAACAACCAGACCATCATCGAAGCTTATGGAAGAGACGAAAACGACATGGAGCAAATGGGCTACTACAACGAGAAGGGCTTCCAGAAGCTGCCTCCGCTCCCTCAGCAGGGAGGTGACCAAGGCTACGGTGGCGAGGACGACTACAACAACAACAACAGAAACGACAACAATTCGTACATGCCCGGCCAAGGTGGTTTGCCCGTGGCGCAGAGAGACTCCGATGGCCGATATCTCGGACGATGAAATTGACAAGCGCTGAGCCGGTCTCACGCGTTTGACGAGCAAGCGATCGGTTCTCTTCTTTTCAGCAGTCACGTTACAACATCCCCGCGGCTCGATGAAATGAGCTTGCAGACAGTCTTTACTGTGCAATCCGGCAGTGCTGGACAGTAGATTAGCAGGGCGGCGGCTGAGGGCTCTGACGACTGCAGCATTCACCGTCCTGCGCGCTGACCAACATTTCGTCTGGCGAATTCCCGCGGTCATGCAGTGGCGCGCCGCTCTAGGCTCATCAACGGGCTCACAGCAACACACATTCACTCGTTACCACCGATTGGGTGCGCCGCTTAATGTGGGGGAGGAGGAGGAAAATAAAGTACAAGAGTGCACCCGGGGGAACTCCCATCTGTGGGCCTCACGAATCTTTCGGAGTCGCGATATCCAACTCACGGAGGGGCACGTGGCATAAAATTTCGGTACGGCGCCAGACAACCGCAGTTGCGTAGCGTAGAGAATTCCCGTACAGTTAGCAATGCACAGGGTGTACTTGACGACCTTGCCGCGTCCTGGCCTGTGATTCTGAATGTCAAGTGCCGGAGTGGCCAGCGCGCTTGGCGCTTGTCTAAGGGTGACGGGCCAGATTTCGAGACGGACCTGGTGCAGATCACGGCAGGGTGTGAAACGAGGGCACTGACCGGATCGTCGTGGGGCCCGGTTTGGGGGGAGACTAAGAATAGGAGGGGCGGGTGTAAGGGAGGGAGGGGTGAGGGGCAAGCTATTCTTGGGATAGCCTCCCGGTGTTGTTTCTTCTTTCTTTTAAGCCGATGTGTGGAAGATACCGGAAGCCAAGTGTAGAATGTTCAATCTTGACATCGAGTATCACCTTGAGATGGACAATTGATGCGTATTGAGGCGTTAGAGAGTTCGGGAGAAAGCCATAAAATGGCGAAGGTGTGCTTCCTATTCAAGACTCACCTATTACATGTCTGGTCGTTCTGGTCGATAGAATTGAAGGTCACTTGATTTTCCGCCTCCGGGGAGATTTACTGTCAAGTAGACGAAGTAGCTCTCCAAGCAGTAGCCCACCTCGCAAAGAAGAGGGGAAAAAACAGCTTTGAGCCACAATTGCAGTGCCTCACTTTTGCCGACTGCTGGGGTTTGATTCTCGCGTGCACCACCGTGAAGATCAAAAACAGAATCTAGAGTTTTTGTCCTTGCTAAACTGACAGGTTGGCAGAGTGCTCTTGCAGCGTGGGCAGAAACAAGCTGGACTTGTGCGCCGGGGGTCAAAGGTCTCTGTTTTCGGCAATCGAAAGAATCGTGACTAACCTGCGAGCTGGGGCTTCAGTCTCCTTCGATTTATCCTGTGCTCTGGGTCCTATACAAGGATGATCACGAAGCCTAGCCTTGTCAAGAAAAGACCGTAGCACACGATATCATTCCAAGTTGGCCCTGTCATCGTGCAAATTGCGCAGCCCCTCTACACTCTCGACCGTAGGTACCATATCCAAAGGACCGCTCCATTGCCGATCAGACACAAGATTCGTCAGAATTGCAGAACAGTTCGTCATGCAATCCATGACGGCATTACGCAGTTGTCTATATTGCATCGACAGCGTCCTCGCGGAGTGTCGGTTTCGGCCCCGCCTTGGCTGTTCCGCGCCTCCTGAGTCCCACCGTTGCTTGTCGCAGATAATATGTTGCCCAGTTTCTACAGCGGCATGCCAAGTAGCAGCCATTTGCCAAGTGCAGCACGTAAGCTTCCCTTTTCACACTCCGGAAGACTGCCGTCCGGCCGGCGAAGTGGAGCATGCTCGAGAAGGAGCCGATGGAGGCAGGACGAGAAATTGACTTGTTGCTGCAAACATTCAAGGTTGGTACTCGAGTAGTGAAATGCGTATTATGCAATCATGTTTATATATGAAGGAATCTTTTTAAGTCGTCACGCGTAGATCGCAACGGTCATGTCATTCTTGATAAGGCTCCGCTGGACGCCCCGTAGATCGGAAGTTTGCAAGGTGGCAATAGACTGATCAACATTGCAGCTCGCCGAAATTAACCACGTTGCGGTGCTCCAACATACTTTAGGAGATACTGCGTGGAGGGCCTTGGCACACTGCATCCCGATGCCAGGTCTTGGCGCCATGGGAACAGTGGCTTTGACGGGCCACGATGCCGTACTGTGACACCTGACAATTTGTCGCGACTCAACAACATGACATGGCATGTGGTGTTCGCCCAGCGGCTTACGTGCGGCCACTTTGATTCCGTACCAGTGCCAGCCAAAAGTGGCTCGGGAGGTCTTTCTCTCTCCAAGCTTATTGTTTTACCCAGCCAGTGACAGAAGGCCGGAAACTCGAATCGGGACTGGGCAATGCTCGGCTATCTGAAGGATCCGGACCGTATGGTACCATGTTTGGCTCCGAGCCTGAAGAGGCAATGTCAATGTACGATATCAAAAGTCTGTTCCATCACATTGGCGTGTGTTCACTCGAGAGAATACGCATAAGTAAGGTCCTGGCCATCAGTTGCTCAAAGCGAGTGGTCCTGTACTCCAGTCGTCACACCAACTTCAGTCACTCACCCAGAATAAGTGATCAAGATGCGCTCAGTCGCCATTCTGACGGCGCTGTCCTTGGGGGGCGTCCTCGCGTCTCCGGCTTTGTCTCGCCCTGCCGCTCGCGACACCTCGGACAACCCGTTCGAAGGCCGCAAGCTCTTCATCAGCCGCGCCTACGCGGCGCAGCTCGAGCAGACGTTCGACACCTTCATCGAGGCCAATGACACCGAAAATGCGCTGAAAGTACGCTACGTCCAGGACAACGGAGGTACATTTGTCTGGGCACCGAGCATCAGCGGGCTCGGTGCACTCGACGTGGCCATCTCGGCAGCCCGCGCAGAGCAGAACCAGGGTGGCGTCGAGCAGATTGTCGGCCTCGTCCTGTACAACCTGCCAAACCGCGACTGCAGTGCTGGCGAGAGCGCCGGTGAGTTGACGGGACAAGACGGTCTTCGGCGCTACAGAGACGAGTACGTCAACGCATGGGCCGAAAGGCTGAGCCGTGCCTCGGACTTGACCTTTGCCGTCGTCATCGAGCCTGACGCGATCGGCAACATGGTGACGAACCAAGGCATCGAGGCCTGTGCCGTCGCCAAGCCCATCCAGGAAGAGGGCATCGCCTATGCTCTGAAGACGCTCCAGCTGCCCAATGTCAACCTCTACCTTGACGTCTCGCACGGTGGCTGGCTTGGCTGGCCCGATAATCTGGTCCTCAGTAAGTGACGCTTGTCTCTTGTCCGAGCTCCCACAGGCTGACTTGGCGGATAGCGGCCAAACAAGTCGCCAAGATTGTCCGGCTCGCAGGCAGCGGCACCAAGATCCGCGGTTACACGACCAACGTCTCCAACTACAACCCGTTCCACGCCGAGGTCCGCGAGGACTACACGGAGTGGAGCCCGTCGTGGGACGAGAACAACTACTCGCGATCGCTGGCGCCTCTGCTCGCGGAGGAGGGCCTGCCGACCAACTTTATCATCGACCAGAGCCGCGTGCACCTCCCGGGGGCGCGGGAGGAGTGGGGTGAGTGGTGCAACGTGTGGCCTTCGGGTCTGGGCCCGACACCAACGTCGGACGTCGATAGCCCTTATGTCGACAGCCTCGTCTGGGTCAAGCCACCGGGCGAGAGTGACGGCCAGTGCGGCAAGCCGGGGGCGCCTCGTGCTGGAGCCTTCTTCAACGAGTACATGCGCATGTTGATCGAGAATGCGCACCCTGATGTCGTGCCGGCGGATTCGCTCGAGAGGCCGACGCAGCCGTGGTGGTAGGTAGGGCCTGGGAAGTTGACAGAATGAAACAGAGGAAACCTTGATAGAGAGCCGAAATTGGAATAGACACGCGGCGTAGCACTGAGTAAGGTCGATAGGCAGACTCGAGAGAAACAGAGAGATGAGGCCATCAAGGTGACCTGCTCTTATCAGTGACTGCCTCGTGCACTTATCGCCATACGACCCTAAGCCTCGGTGAGTCAGCAGATCGAGGCGCTCTCATTGGGCTGCTGCCTCGGCAAATGCCAAATGGCGCAGGACCTAACCAATTGCATCATCCCGCGGCCGAAGCTCGACAAAGCTCCGCAGCCGTCTCGAGCTCCCCAAGTCACGACATGCCTCTTGCCTCTGTTTCTGCTTCATACACCCTCTGGATCCCCACGCTGCAAGCGCTGAACGTCAATCCTACAGACGCAATACACCGACTTCGTTCAACAGATCCTCACCGAATCGCCACCTCCCTCATCGCTGCCCAAGACCCCTCCCGAAGACCGAGCAATCCCCCCACCATCGCACCCGGCTGCCCGACGAAGGACCCCTCCACAACAGCTTGCTGCTGCAAGATGATAGCTCTGTCGAGCGAACGGCGACGATGATTCCGCGCCTGCTATGCACAGCCTCGAAGAGGTCATACGCACAAAAACTGTACCATACGAAACGGCCTATAGCCTCACCATGGCTCCTGCGAAGCACCGTCTCGGCAGTCCGTGTGTTCCAATCCAGCGCACCTCTGCACCGCGAAGAACCAAAAGTTGCGCATGGAGCGCTGAATGCTGCGCCTGCGCTGAAAACCGACAAGGGGACCATACCGCTGAAAGCCCCAAAGCCTGCTTCGCCTGATCCTATGGCTGCCGTGGACAAATCGGCTCAGGAACAGCGCAAGGCTGACTGGGCCATCATGAAGGAGATGTCGCGATACCTATGGCCGAAAGACAGTTTCAGCACGAAACTCCGCGTCGGCGTGGCCGTGGCGTTGCTGGTCGGCGCCAAGGTGCTGAACGTCCAAGTGCCGTTCTACTTCAAGAGCATTGTCGATGCCATGAATGTCGATGTGGGAGCCATGGGCGGGACGGCCGTCACAATTGCAGGGAGCATGATTCTCGCCTATGGCGCGACAAGGATAGGGGCCACAGTATTCCAGGAGCTGCGAAACGCCATCTTCGCCACCGTTGCCCAGAAGGCCATCCGCAAGGTCGCCTGCAACGTCTTTGATCACTTGCTGCGCCTTGACCTCAGCTTCCACCTCTCCAAACAGACTGGTGGCTTGACTCGGGCCATTGACCGCGGTACCAAAGGAATCAGCTTCCTTCTGACGAGCATGCTGTTCCACATCCTCCCCATTGGTCTCGAGATCTCCATGGTCTGCGGCATCTTGACGTGGCAATACGGCGCCCAGTTTGCTGCCATCACGGCCACCACCATGATCGCCTACACGGCCTTTACTGTGTGGACGACGGCGTGGCGCACCAAGTTCCGCAGGCAAGCTAATGCCGCCGATAACAAGGCTTCGACTGTTGCGGTCGACTCGCTCATCAACTACGAGGCAGTCAAGTACTTCAACAATGAGCAGTACGAGGTTGCGAGATACAACGCTGCCCTCACAGCATACGAGAAGAGCTCCATCAAGGTCGCCACGTCGTTGGCGTTTCTCAACAGCGGCCAGAACATCATATTCTCGTCGGCGCTGACTGCCATGATGTATCTGGCGGCGAACGGTGTTGCCGAAGGCACCCTGACGGTCGGTGACCTCGTCATGGTCAACCAGCTTGTCTTCCAGCTGTCGGTGCCTCTGAACTTTCTCGGTTCCGTGTACCGCGAGCTGAGACAATCGCTTCTGGACATGGAGACTCTCTTCAACCTACAAAAGGTCAACGTGTCCGTCAAGGAGCAACCCGACGCCAAGCCTCTGCTGCTGGTCAAGGGTGGCGAGATCAAATTCGACAACGTCACGTTTGGCTACCACCCCGAGAGACCGATCTTGAGAAATCTCTCTGTCACTATCCCCGCCGGAAAAAAGGTAGCCGTCGTTGGGCCCAGTGGTTGTGGCAAGTCTACTCTCCTTCGCCTGCTCTTCCGCTCCTATGACGCTCAGTCAGGCCGCATCACCATCGATGACCAGGACATCAAGTCGGTCACTCTCGACTCTCTCCGACGCTCCATCGGCGTGGTCCCTCAAGATACGCCCCTCTTCAACGACACCATCGAGCACAATATTCGCTACGGCGACATGTCGGCGTCCCGCGAACTCGTTGAGGCAGCCGCCCAGCGCGCGCGCATCCACGAGATCATTGAGAAGTTTCCCGACGGCTATCAGACCAAGGTCGGTGAGCGCGGACTCATGATCTCGGGCGGCGAGAAACAGCGTCTCGCCGTGAGCAGGCTGCTCCTCAAGGATCCGCCGCTGCTCTTCTTCGACGAGGCCACGAGCGCCCTCGACACGCATACGGAGCAGGCGCTCATGGCGAACATCAACAGCATTCTCCGGGAGAAGTCGAGGACGAGCGTCTTCGTCGCGCACAGGCTCAGGACCATCTTTGACGCCGACATGATCATCGTGCTGAAGGAGGGCAGCGTGGCCGAAGTGGGAACGCACAGGGAACTGATTGACCGGGGGGGCCTCTATGCCGAGCTCTGGAGTGGTGAGTCCTGTCTTTGAACCTTTCGGAGTGCCTGTTTTGCTAATAACCTTTGCAGCCCAGGAGACTCTCTTCAATTCCGATGGAACTAGTGCTGTGGAGAGCGAAGAGCTGAATGAAGGACGCTCTGTTCTGCGCGAGAAGAAGTAAATAAAGCAGGTTTTCGTTTCTTTGACTGATCATTTCCACGTCTGGGCTTCTGCCCATTTGCAATTAGTTTGACGCAAAAACGCGCACGCATTCGTCTTTATACCCCGCGCTCAGGCCAAAGGCTACTTTGGTTCTATCAACACCGCCAGGATTGAGTTTTGCGGTAATGGCCTTATTTACTCCAAGTTGACCATAGCTCCGGCTGGTGCGAAATCTTCTTGCATTGCGTTGTTTCTTATTTTTGGCAAGCGCCATCAAGTTGAACCACTATCGACCATGTCTCTCGTGTAGACGGCTACAATTTGTGGAGGCATGCTTCTCATCTACAGCGCTCTTCCGTGGCAGGCCTCCCCCGCTTTCAGACTTGAGTCTACTTGTTCATAAAGCATATCCTTTCTCAAGCGATATTGAGGTTCTTACCCCTGAGTTCCCTCTTGTGGAGGAACCGGATGATAAACGCCGTCCCAATGAGACAGACAGAAATTCCGACCATGGTCGAATAACCTTTGGGGTACCTCGGCGCCTCCACCTGCTGCCAGACGAGCAGAGGAAGCCAAGCCTGCACGACATAGGCCATCTCATTCATGGTCGCCGTCACCAGGGCGCGTTCCTCGTTGTCGTCCTTGCAAATCTCGTGCGCCCAGGCAAAGGTCAGGCCACTGATGCCGCCTGCAAAGCCGACTAGGAAGAAACTCGCCCACTTTAGGCCGACGGGGATGCTCCAGACGGTCAGGCTGACGTTGGCGAAAATGTTGACGACACCCGAGAAGACAATGGCAGGCCACCTGGCCCCCTTGAAGACGCTGTCGCTCGTCCACGCGTAGATCAGTGTCGTGACGACGGTGATGGCCGCCGTGATGGTCGGGAACGTATTGATCTGCGCGACGCTGTACCCTTCCTCCTTGAGCCACAGCTGAAAGGCGGGCTGCGCCCCGGTCCCGCAGCCGTTGTTGAAGAAGATGTACAGGGCGGTGAGCCAGTAGATGTGCCAGCTCGTGAAGATCTTCTTGACCTTCTTCTTGGTGAAGGGGGCCCTGTTGGCGCGGCCTTCGAGCTGCATGCGCTTCTGGGCCATGGCGATGTCGTCCTTGGTGAAGTACCACGCGCGCGTGATCTCGGGCAGGTCGGGGAACAGGAAGAAACCGGCCATGGCGATCGGCAGGGAGATGACCGTGTTGATGATGAAGAGCCACTGCCACCCGTGATAGCCGTGCACGCCGTCCAAGTGGTAGACTGCTGCCATGAGGTAGCCGGAGAACATGGTGCCGATGGCGCCGCTGACGTGGAAGATGCAGCTGCGCTTGGCGAGCTCGTCGGAGCGGTACCAGCTGCCTATAATGTACTGCATGCCCGGGTAGAACGTGGACTCGGCCAGGCCGATGAAGAAGCGGAGGGCGTAGATTTGCTTTGCGTTTGTGCACTTGGCCAGAAGGATAGTTAAGACGGACCAGGTCACTTCGCAGGCGGGGATCCACAGGGAAGGGCGGACCTTGGTGAGGAGCAGGTTGCTTTCAAGACCAGTTAGTACACGTTTGTTGTGAACATCAGAGAACAGAGCACCTGAGACATACCTTGGAATCTCACCAATGACGTATCCCACGGTCCAAAAGGTTTGCATGTAGTTGAGCTCGTTTCCATAAAGGCCCAAGTCTTCCCGCATGCCAGAGACGAAGGCGTTGTTGATATTGATTTGATCAAGGTACTTGATGAAATATCCGAGTGAGGCCATGGTAAGCAACACAGCATCGAGTTTGAAGAGGAACTTGCGCTCTTCGGGCGATTTGTCGAGCGTGTCCCAGACATAGGACTTCCATGTTTTCTTAGGCTTCTGCTGGATGATGGATGAATCTCCAGTATCCGTCGGAGAAGGTATGCCATCGGTCGACACCACAGAAGAGGCGGCGACCTTCTGGTCCGATGGGACGTCAGCGTCCGAGGACGAACGGTCTTTTCCCACATTGGCGCTCATGCTGGGCGATCTCGAGTGCTACGAAGAAGTCAGAGGACGTGGTGAGCCGGCCTGAACCTGAAGCCCGAGCCTGACTTCTTCCCTCTTTATGACCACTACTGAAGATCATACTACGTTATGCTAAAGCCCTGCCATGCCGACCGACTTCCGATGGCGGACCACTCCCGCATGGTTAATCGAAGCTCACGGCGGATCGGGCCCGCGCCGACTACCGAATTGACCATGGTATCATCAAGCTGTCGGGCAACACCTGCAGGCATGGCACGTCAGATCTGGCACATGGAGCTGTCAAATCGGCGTGCAAGACAGTCCATTGGATGAACGCCGACACAGTCGCCGCCACGCTACTCCACGGTTTCTCCGATCCGTCATGTTCCGCCGACGATGATCTGCGCCAACAGGTGCTTGTAAGTGTATGGCGTGAGCGGCTCTGCGCCAATGACGGTCACGAACGACGATGCAGTGAAAGAAGGCGCCATATGTGCTGCATATGGGGTAAGAAAATGTCCCACGCTAATTTTTCATCGGCTTCCTCTTCTCCGTCTTCTGCGTTATGTGCGCCACCGGTCCGGGCCGGTTGTTGACTCCTTGGCCAATGCCTGATCTCTTGATCGAGCGAACGCCATATTTGGTGCGTATGGGGTCATCGATAAGGAAGACGTACGAGTCGTGCGGGGAGCGTCGGACGGGGCATCGACACATGGCGTTCAGCAACGCTCAATCACGAAGGTCGCATATGCTCATGAGTTACGAGATTCGCTGCTTCACAAATGTCGGTCGATAAAGACCCACGTCTTGAACCTACCCTGGACTGAATCAAGACACAAACCCCAGCGTCTCTATCTGGTTCAAACAACACGCAATCCACCATGGCCCCATCTGCAATTGACCCGTCCATCACTGATACAGCCGAGCCGATCAAGGACACACTCGGTCTCCCTGAAACAACAGTGCAGCGTTTGACTAAGGCCAAGATTGACCTGTCTGGCGGCTATCCGTATCGTCCATTGAAGCCACTCTACCTTCAAGACGTGTACAAGATTCGTTCGGAAGAGTATCCCTACGTCGATGCAGGCATTCGCGCCGATAAGTCTAAGAAAAATCTCCTCTCCGCCGCCGCTAAGGTGACAGACTTAACGACTCACATTGGCACCGAGATTGAAGGCATTCAGCTGAAGGACCTCACTAATGTTCAGCGAGACGAGTTGGCACTCTTGATTGCAGAACGTAGCGTGGTCTTTTTCCGGGACCAAGACATCACTCCACAGCAACAGAAGGAGCTAGGCGAGCACTTTGGCCAGGTAGAAGTTCATGTTAGTCCGATCTGGACCTCGAAAAGACTATTCAGACCGACTGACCACACCGTGTAGCCTCAAGTACCCCAGGTCCCGGGCGTAGAAGGTGTCACAGTCATCTGGCCCGACCTGCAGGCTACGGAGTTCCCGGCATCATTCCGCAGGCCCGGCGGTGCGTCGAGATGGCACTCTGACCTGGTTCACGAGCTCCAGCCAGCAGGCATCACCCATTTGCACAACGACACCGTCCCTCCGACGGGCGGTGACACGCTCTGGGCCTCGGGCTACAGTGCCTACGAGAAGCTCTCGCCCGAATTCCGTAACATCATTGATGGCAGGAAGGCAGTATATCGATCCGCCCATCCATATCTCGATCGTGACAAGCCGAACGCCGGCCCCAAGCATGTCGAGCGCACGCATCCACTGGTGCGAGTGCACCCCGCGACAGGATGGAAGGCGCTCTGGGTCAACAGAGCCATGACAGACCGCATCGTCGGCCTCGACAGGGCAGAGAGCGATGCAATTCTTAACTACCTCTACGATGTGTATGAGAAGAACGTCGACATTCAGCTCAGGTTCAAGTGGACGCCGGGCACCAGCGCGCTGTGGGACAACAGGTTGGTTGCATGGGCCCTTTACGATGCAGCTCAGTCTACTGACAAGATGATGACAGGATCACGATCCACAATGCCAGCTGGGACTATGCGGGCAAGCACCCACGTCACGGCACGCGAGTAACCTCACTGGCTGAGGTGCCGTACTTCGATGCCAGTGCTCCCACAAGACGCCAGGCTTTGGGCCTGCTGGACGATGAAGAGAAGAAGGAGCTTAGCATCTGAGGCTGTGAGAATTTTCAGGTCGCGAATGATCCTATCGCGTCATCGGTTAGCGAGCGCAGCCCATGACTTTTTCTTTTTTTTACAACTTCACGTAGCCGCAGTGGAAGGCTTACGGCCAACACATGTATACGACTTGGAGGAGGAGGGATGCTGCTTACGACGCGTCAGCCAATGCGAGAATCGAGATTCGCGATCCGCAAACCAAGATGAGTCCAGCAAGGGTACCCGAGCAGCCGAAGGGCAAATAAACTCTCTCTTTGGTTGTCCCCTTTCTCGAACAATTGATACAATTGAAGTATGTACATCATACGATTGCTACACTCTGATCTCCCGTGAGATTGCTCGGGCTTGGCTTGTGGGCTTATCCTTTCGCTGATGTCCAAAATAGGTCGCCGCTTGTTGTGTTGGCATATCGAGGCAGAGCGATCCTGGCTCTGGAGACCCCACTGCCCGTTCGGATGGCCACTGAAGCCGACCATCATCCCAGCATCATCAGTGGGCGCAGGCTATCGTGCACAACACAACACAACACAGCACACAGCGAAGAAGACATGGGTGGCATGACAGTCTGCCGGGTCGCACGACAAGGTCAGCCCTACCGCGACCGACCAGCCCCAGCCCCAGCGATGGGCCGGAACCTGAGCGGCCGATGCTGGGCGCCAATGATGATGGAGCGAAACCGTAAGCAGAAGATGAGAACATGACTGTTGTCCTCCTTCTGCAGCCCAGTCACCGCCTCGACCATAGCCAGCAATGGTCTAGCGTCTGCCAGCAAATGACTGAAGGCAGCCAATCCCGGGGACTGTTGGCCAGCTAGCTCGACCATTTCGGCAAGGCGTTCACTCCTTCGCGAGGAGAAGGCAGAGTGATGACTTCTGGGCTGTGCTGCTGATGGGT